GACACTAACACTGGTTGTTTAAATAAATACTAAAAGGTGCAAAACTATTATTGTTTATCCACAAAAACGTTATCTCGAAAACAACAGCACCACATAAATGATTCAAAGTTGTTGTTCAATCGCCGTGTTCACAAATCGCGAACGATACAAAGCTTACACAACCCGTGTTTCTGTTTTTATTATATTTTTTTTTTTACACAAAGTTACCTATGAAATGCATAATTTTACATTATTAATACTAATCGTTTTGTGTTTGGCGGTACCGATATGTCCGTCTGAACTGTCCGAGGAAACCGACTTAATCTCCGAAAACTCTTACACTGAGAAGGAGGATGTTGCCCGGCATAGGGTTTTGAAATGCCAATGTTTGCTTTACGGACTGAACCATATGCGGTTGTCGTCGTTGGCGTTTCCCATCCCATTTGTCCAACCGTATTTACTTGTGGCCGTAAGTATTTGGAACAACGGCAGGGAAACTATATCTTTGTTGTACAATTTGCCCGGTGTGAAAATTGGCTCGTTGTGGCCGTTACACTTGTACACAGGACTGTTGAGGGGTTACTTTATCTCAGATTTAATGCAGGAACACGAGTGTTTCAGGGTATACGACACTGGGAAAACACTTTTGACAACGCATAATTATATAACCGAAAAACTGCAGTTCGACTGGGACGCTACCGGTTGTCGCCGTTGTGAACTGAACGATTGGTACTCCCAGTGGCACGAACGAAATCCAAATCCCCGCTTGTCTATCATACAAGACGCGATAAGGAAGAATAACCACGAATTTCAAAGTTTTTCAAATGAAATAAAGAAATCGACGAACGAAAACCAGGACCAGATGTACCGGGCATTGATCGAGTCGTTGAAAATGAAAAATCTGTTCATGAAAGAATTCGGGCACAGTTCAAACGTCACCTATGTATTGGTAACTTGGTACAACACGGGCACGCCGATGAGTTGTACTAACGTGGAAAACATACTTAGAATGGCGTGGAAACGTGCGGCTAAAGTGACTTGGAACACCGATAACCTTGAAAATGTCAAATCGTTCTACACAACGCATTTTAATTTTTTGAAAATCATCTTTTTCCGTCTGACGTGGACACACCTTTTGTACGTTAAACTAATAGAATACGTTTCGCTCAAGTATTTGCATTACGCACGCCAATGGCATAAGTTGTTGGAAAAATTCGGACACATGTTACGCATCGAAAACGATCGGCACATTAAGCATTTGTTGGAAGCTTTCGACATGCTCGCCAATCGAAAGACAAGTGTAGCATATGTAATAAATTACTTAAAAATAATTCTGCAAAGTATCGCCCAGTCATTAGAGTGCAACGCGACTGAACCAGTCTTGAGCCAGGAAACAGTTGACAGTTATTTGCGAAACGTATTGAACACCAAGGATGAACTGGTGGAAATCAGTTCCGAGACTTCCGCAAATGCTTTCATAAGTCATCTGGAAGTTATATTCACTGGGGTCGACTTTGGCGTCATTCGGTCACTCATAGAATACATTGACGAAACCAACCCTGAGTAAAACTTGGTTTTGAAAATACATGCTAGTCGTCTTGGTATAACCGTTTTCTTTATATAATAATTTATCGCCACTGTTAAATTCCAAATAAACACTTTTTAAACCAGTTATTTTTCTGTTTATTATTCCTGTACCTTCTGGTGTCCCTAAAGTGGGTCATCTTTCCCTTCTTTTGTTTTAAAAATCTCTTATGAACATCTTGCATCTTGTTTAAAAAACAGCTCTGTAACATTAAAAATGTTATAAGTTATACATATATATTATTGTTCAGAACAAGTTAACAACCTCTCAACATTTTTAGTAGTAGTAGTAAATAGTTGTACTAATTAATAGTCGTAGTAAAAGTAGTAAGTGAGTATGTTATGGGGGTAGGTCCAGTGTTCACTTATAAAAATACAAAATATTAACGATAGAAGCTATGTACCTAATGATAATTATGTCCTTAAAAATTCATTTTTAGTATTGGAGTGTATACCATTAGGGTTGATCGTGTGTCAATACAAATGTATTGTCTACTTGACTACTGTCCAAGTGAAATTTTTTCCTGTTGTTTGGGTTTTATGTTATATGTTATACCCTTATTCTAAATCAACCTTAGGTCTAATTTTCAGACCTAAACACATAAATCTTCACCTATATTAGCGAAATAAAGTTTCTCGTTTAATAAAATAAAAAACCGTTATTTATTTACTTCAAAATTTGAAGTGTTTTAATATTATTATACTGTTACATATATATACATATATATATATATATATATATATATATATATATATATATATATATATACATATATGTACAGGGTGTTTCAGCATGAACACCATAGAACAACTGGAAGACTCCCAAATAAGCCCCCCGTTTTCATTTTTTCGATAAGTCAAATATTGAAGATTTCGACAGTTAAGTAAAAACATAATGACTTAAAAAAAAAAAAATTATGATCTGTTATTCAGTGCAAAAAGCTCACCTTAAAAGAGGAGTCACATAATTTTCAGTCACTTTCGGCCTCTAAATAAAAAAATGATAAGAGACCAGAAATAAATAATAAGTGATAAAAGATAAATGCTAAGACATAATTGATAAGAAATAAAAGAAAAGAGATAGTTGGTAAGAGATAAATTATAAGAGATTAGAGATAAATGATAAGAGATAAGTTAGGGACTGAAAATGATGTGACCCCTCTTTTAAGGTGAGCTTATTGCACTGAATAACAGGGCATAATTTTTTTTTTTAAGTCATTATTTTTTTACTTAACTGTCGAAACCTTCAATTTTTGACTTATCGAAAAAATGAAAACGGGGGGCTTATTCGGGGGTCCCCCAGATGTCCAATCACCTATTATTTACTTTTCATTCTGGAACACCCTGTATATATTTTAGTTTAATTTGTTTGTTAATTATGTCATACCAGTGCTGCGGAGAAGCCCTTTGTTTAACCAGGGCTCCAGTCCGGTCTTATGGTAAGTTGTTGAGTACTGGGCAATAATAGCTATAAGGCAATAAAATAATTATTCTAACATTAATAATAATTAGGAACGTTGAATTAAACCGCACACCTTTCACCAGTCACGTATTATAACATTGAAATATAACAATGGTAAACACAGCTTCAATAACAATCATTAGCTTGTTTACGACATAATATAGCAATAAACAACTAATCAGTGCATTGCACATGTTTTATTTTTAATTTTTGATAACGAAAACCAAAGTCAAACGGCATGGCTATTACTAATATTCTACGCAAAAAAGTATTTCTGGTAATTGATATGAACTTTAGTATGTTTTGTATTTATTATCATAATATTATGTACATTGTATAACAACATACGATTAGAATTTACATTTACAAATAAAAATATTAAAAAAACTATTTCAATAGGTAAGCATAACACGCTGTATCTATCTATCTATCTGTCTGTTATGATAATTCATTATTGATACTTGTAAAAACCTGTGGAAATTACTTATAAACAGTTATTTTTTGTAAAAGTATGAAACAGAATAATTTTTTGACCCAGAGAAAGTATTTTTTAGTCGACTTTAATGATTATATTGTCGTATTGTATTTATATCGTGGTTTGTTTTAAATGGCATAATGATTTGACAAAACAAAGAGTTAATCGAAATGTTTTTAATTAAATCCATTCATAGACTGCCAGTCTGAAATCTTAATAATTATCTTGGTTATTTATTTACTTGTTTGAAAAATATTGTTACGTTTCAGTAAAAGAATAGCGTACGTTTTTTTTTTACAAGTTATCTTTTTCGTCTCCTTGCCCAAGCTTAATTTAGATTCGAGGGTCACCCATCCGTCTTCCCTATTCTTTATGGCAATAATATTAACTGATTTGATTAGATAATAGTTAATACCAAGAAATCATTTTGATGTACCCGGACCCTTAGTATTTAAAATACAAACTTCTCCAAAACTCCCTTCCTAGTTTATGTCACCCTTAAGCATTTCGAACTTGAAGAATACTCAAAACTACACACATAACCCACAAGCGTTTGTGTTAAAGATGGGAAAAATTACCTCACGGTAACTGCTATTTATTGCCCGACCCAAAGAGGTGTAGATTAAATTAACTTTACTGATTTTTCCTGTACGCTAGGAGACGGGTGCTTTGCAGTCAGAATTCTTGATCACTAGGGATCAAAAATGATCGCTCCGAAATCATTTCTACCAAAGAACCAATTCGCTAGCTAACCAATTCGGAGAAAACCGCCGAACGACTTGACTTTTTCGTAATTAAAGGTATCTCCTCTTGTCACGTTGAAGTTAAAGGACTAATAGAGCTAACGGCTGACCACATTCTTGTGATATTATCGTTAAGAGCGGTGACAATCATGTTGCTCACACAAGGAAACCCAGCCTGAACAATCCACGAGTTAACAGAAATTATTGTATGGATTTACTAAAAAAAAAATAGGCAACCAACGATGGGGAATGAGTGTAATGACTGTGTGTATAGTTTAAAGTAAAATTGAAAATCTGACACGTCTTTTGGTTATGTAAAACATACTATGTAGGATACGTTTGTAGGTGTATTTTAAAAACAATGTAAATATATGTAACCTCAAGGGAAATAAAATCATAATTGAGCAACTCATAAAACCGTTTAAGATAATTGTTACAAAATATTTTAACAGTGCAAATATGTTTTAAATCATAAATTGTCAGGAAATTAAATACAAAGTACACAAAAGTTTTTAATAATAATTTCTACATTTTTAAATTGTATTACAATGTAAGAAAATTAATCTAAACATTTCAAAGGACCAGCGTTATAAATAATTCACTTCCCATATTTTTTTATTTAACAGATACGGTGTTGATTACAAAGGTTAATGAGTGTTTTAGTGAACACAACAGGTGCAGTTTTTTTTATAGATATTAGTGTGTTTCAGATGTTTTCCGATCCATTCCGTCGAGACATTATATCGTATACTTATAATTTATATATTATTGAATACTTAATCGGTAAAAAATAATTATTATTTTTATGACTTTTAACTTGATACTATTATATTTAAGCTAATGTGTTAACTATGCGTGTCTAATAAGTTATTTTTATTCCACAACAAATACAGTTGTAAATGCAGCAGTGCTTGATTGCATATCAGCGCCAACAGTTCTCTGGTCCAGAGTCATCTCACAATGAACTGGCTGGAAAAATTCTCTGAAGCTTTGGCTTTAAGTTTGAACATCTCTATATTATGGTTACCGCTTATCATGCTGCTAACTTTCCGGCTCTACAAATTGTTTCGGGATAAACGTGCGATCGAACGGCAAAAACAAATGTCACTACTACCGAGCTTAACAAAAACCTACTGGGAAGTTCTCAAGAACGCGTTTAGCGCCGCTAGATTGAGCCCTCAAGGTAATATTTTTGTGAAGTATTAAGCAATTTTCCATTATTAGTGGAAGCCTAAAAATTATCCAAAACTATTTTACGCTAATTATTTTAGCTTATGTTTGAAAATTAATTTACCGTAAAGGGGGAATAGCTGATCGAGTTAGGTAAGGTCTATATAGTTTTACACCTTAAAGTAATTGAAAAAAAATTGTTTTAGTTAGAAAAAGTATACTGTTAACAGTAAAATAAAAATTGAGAAGATTATTTCATTACTATAGTTATACAAAAATAACCAATCGAGTAGACAATTTGGATTTACTTAACATTTTAACCATTACTTCAACTTATTAATGAGTTAGTGTCTAGAAAACAAATAATGTAGGTATTAAATATGGCTTTTATGGAATTTAGTAATTTTTTAAATATTTCTTTCGAGAATTATATAACAAACACAGAAAGTGCTTCTAAACTAAAACTTTTTAACTTATAATTTATTCAATATATAATAATTAATTTAATAAGAGTATTTTTTTTTTGAATTTACTGTTTTTATACAATGTGATCTCAATTTTTCACACTACCTATTTGTGAGTTTAAAACTTATAATTATTTTAAAAATAGTTATCCAAAACTGATTATCGACTAGTCACAATATTTTCAGTACTGAATTATTCTTAATTGAAAAAGTTGATGAAATGTATGCGTTACGATTTACAATTCAAAAGTTGCTATCAAAAGAAGTAAGTTAGGAGTCAGTTAAAACTCTTTTCATATAGCCATTAAAAGTTTCTGTTTTTTTTTAACTTGTTCAACCTGAAATTATACATTCAGTGTACTTTATTAACTCTATACCAAAATTAAATAACCTTACAATAAAAACAGATAGCATAAATTATCTATCATAATTTATATGGTTTTGGAAATCGCCATATAAGTTTGTTTGATAAAAAGTTTCAAATTTTGGGCAGGAGAAAAGGTTGAATGTAGTATTGTTTTTATCTGTGTGCACTTAGTTTCCCTCCCATGTTAATTTTTAAACTATAACAACTCTAATAATAGTTGTTTAAAACTGGTTGTCATAATTATTAGTATATTATTCTCAATTTAAAAAGTTAATAAATTGTACGCGTTACGATTTAATTGTCAAAAGGGGCTATAAAAAAAAAGTCAGTTAATTGGGGGGTTGTGGAAACTAATGAAATTGTAAAAAAATTGAGGTGAAATTGTATAAAAAGAATATAATTAATTAATATAATTGAGTTTCGGTAAAATGCTCATCGAGTATAGTTGTCTTCATTGACGTACCGATTGTGAATCATTTAGTATAATTTAACAAAAAAAAAAAAATTATTGCGTTGCCGAAAATGTAATTACATGACCATCCGAAATTTTCAGCTGTGTTACCCTATTACTCCAGCATGCTTAAAATACTTGGACCATTAGTACGCATAAATGCTATAATACGTGACTACGTCATTATAAACGATCCCGACGACATAAAGGTATGCAAGTTAATAGTTACATTGTTTCTAATACTTAACATTAGAATAGATGTGTATTTGCCATAAAGATATTGTTGTCCAGTACTGAACACATCACCAAAGGACCGGATTACAGGATGCTCGAGCCCTGGTTGAACAAAGGGCTTCTGACCAGCACCGGTATGATCTGTCGCCCACTCGTGGCCTGTATCGAATATTAAACGGTCGTTTTATATTATTAAACACCTACTGTAATGTTTTAGATGAAAAATGGCAAGCGCGAAGAAAGTTACTGACCAACACGTTTCACTTTAAAATTTTAGAAACGTATCTACCATCTTTTAACAAGCATGCACACACTTTAGTGCAAAACCTTGGCAAAGCATCGAAAAACGATGAACTTATCGCGAACATAAGTTCTCACGTGACTCTATGCGCTTTAGATATTGTATGCGGTGAGCTGCTTTTTTTTTTTAATTTATAGATTAATAATAAATAATGTTACCCCTGTCTGGTGGGCAGTGCTTGAATTTGGAGCATAAATGGGGAGGGACGCTGGTATTAGTTTAAATTTCAGCGTTCCTCAGAACACAAATTAGTAGTCACCGTAGAAAAGGTTTTGATTTGAGGTGCATTTCTCACAATAACCAATAACGTTTTTTCAAAATATTATCTCCAAAAATTGTAGCTATTTTTTTTTTTTGTAATGTCGGGTTCAGTAAGTTTTATTTTTTTTTATATCTTACATAAATTTAACTATACAACTAAATTAAATATCGAATAAAAATGCACTGCCAATTTAGTTAGTCGGTATTGTGTAACACAAAAACCTTATATTTTGTCAAACATATTATATTAAATGCTTAGAGTTTGTCATCGACTACAGCCTTGAAGGAGAAAGATGGTTGAAGTAGTTAAAAAAAAAAATGCTATCATTATTAAAAATCGTATATTTGATGTTTGTTAAATTATATACACCGCATTTAATATTGATGTTATAGAAACAATACTGGGCGTGAGCTTAAGATCTCAAGAAGGACAATCCACAGATTACGTTAATGCAATAAAAACGTAAGTGTAATCAATTATAACAATAAATTAAACTTAAAAATTATTTAAAATAGAACTCGTACTTCATTAAAAAAATTGTCTTACGAAAAAAATTATTTTAGATTTGAAATCGGGAGAAAAAATGTTGTTGAATTGATATGTAACATGATTTTTTGCTATATGACCACACATACGTCCACAGGGTGGCCACCGAGTGAGTAGCCGGCATGTGACTAAAATCAACATAATATGGCATGCGACACAAAATTTAATGTAAAATAATTCTAAGGAATTAAAAATAAAATTCTAACTGATAATGATGTGTCTCTTGCCATATGTTGGTTTCGGTCACATGCCGGCCACTCAGTGGCCACTCGGTGGACGCAAATGTGGCCAGATTTAAAAAAAAACATGTTACATATCAATTCAACAAGATTTTTTCTTCCGATTTCAAATCTGAATATATTTTTTTAGTAAGACAATTTTATAATGAGATACGAGTTATATTTTAAATAATTTTATAATAAAAAAAAAATGAATACCATTTATTGCACCCATAGAGCATTCTGAATGTCTCATTTGAAGCTCGGTAGAACTTTACATTACACCCTGTATATATATATATATATTATAATTAAAACTGTTTAAGCTTTCCCAAGTGTAAACATAAGAATAATTGGATATATTGTTTTACTAGCGTGTGTCGTATAGCCGTCAAAAGAATATTAACAATTTGGCTTTGGAGCGACACGATTTTCAACGTCAGCACTGGCGGTAGAGACTTTTATAAATCGTTAAAAGTACTGCATACGTTTACTGAAAATGTAATTATAGCACTATATAATCGACAGTTGTACACAAATGAATATATTTGTACTATGTTTAACGAAAATCTAATTTAAGATTATTCAAGAAAGAAAACAAAAACTTATTTATTCCGAAAATTTAATTGCCGGCACCGAGGGTTTGAAATTCTGTTTGTTTGTAATCGATATTTATTTTTTACGCACTAAATTTGAAATGCCGATAATATTTACAGAAAGAAAAAGAGTACATTCATTCCTGGACCTATTAATCGGCATTTCCAAAGAACATCCTAACTCGATGACAGATGCTGACGTCCGAGAAGAAGTAGACACTTTTCTTTTCGAAGGACACGATACCAGTTCAATAGCTATGACAATGGCATTGATTCACATTGGCATGAATCAAAACATCCAGGTGCTTAGTTTATTACTATAAATTTTACTTATCTACAACGAAACGGTAATTTTTATCGCCGTTTTACAAACTATTTGTTAATAACTGATATTTTTATTTATTGATCAAAACGTTTCAGTTTAAAACCTTTTGAGACGGACTTTTAGGTGGTAAAGTAAATCAAACAGCAAAGTTAATAAAATTTGTTTAATACAATTTGATATTTAACTAAAAATGTTCAAGTCATATATAAACATAGAAAAAAAACATTCCTGATTGATATCAACAAATGTGTGTTTCAATTTTTACAACGCAATAATTGTTAAGCCAATTTTGTACAGATACACGTCTATGGCGTTAAGCTAAAAGGAAGATTCTTTTTTCTGGTATCTAAGCGGTTTTAATCTGAAAGTACGTTTGTACAAAAATTAGATATCGAGACACTATCGAGATTTTAACATAAGCGGTTTTTGATAGTTGTTAGAAACTGAGTATCGAACATTAAATTTTACATGTTTTTAAAGTTTTATAATTGGCCAAATCAGTTGAATAAAAAATTATCAGAGTGAAAATCTATATATGGTCTCGAGCTTTAGTTTTGTATAGACTTGATTTTACTCTAAATTTTCTCAGAAAAATACATCTCAAGTGGTATTTTTTAAATGAAAATCGAATGTGGTGTGGTGCCCTTTTAAGATGAATCGAATGTGGCGTGGGCCCTTTTAAATGTTTACGAAACACCCTAAAAAAGAATGTGAAGGTCGGACCTTCCATCATTATATTTACATCTTAACCTTTAATCATGTACCTAGGGATGATTTAACCAATCCCCCTCGATATAATATTGAAAAATTAATCTATTAAATTATTCATTTGTTGATATTGAAAAAACTTGTAGCAATGTTAGGACGGTGTTAAGAAATTTTCATATTTTCATAAAACAACTTAAACTACTACCGAGAGTTTAAAATAATGAAAACTCCCCACATTCCTGGCTGTGTAGATTTTTATCACATCCCATAAATCCATTTCAGATTGTATTGTTAAATCATAGCGTAGTTAGTGATATTATATGTGTGTCTATAATAAAGTCACACGGTTCTTTTGCAAAATATGTTGTCCAACAAAATACAACTATTATCACCTATTTTATTTTACTCCTTAATACTTCACAGGATGACATCCGAGAAGAGCTTCATGGAATATTTGGTGACAGTCGTCGAGATGCTACAGTGGAAGACCTTAAAGCAATGCCGATATTAGAAAGAGTAATAAAAGAAACCATGAGACTTTACCCTAGTGTTTCGGGTATTATGAGAAAAATAAATCAACCATTACGTCTTAGTATGATTAAAAACTGAATTCTTATACTCGGCTATACAATTATCAAAATATTAATATTTTAGAAAATCATATAATACCTGCAGAATCTATTGTAGTCATCATAATTCATTTATTACATCGTGATGAGTCGATGTATCCGGACCCAGAAATGTTTAATCCCGATCGATTTTTACCAGACCAGTGTATCGATCGACACCCATTTGGATACATACCGTTTAGCGCAGGACCAAGGAACTGTATCGGTATGACATAATTAATAAACAAACTTGTCTAACAAAATCTATTTTGATTGTCATTTTATAAGATAAAATAAATTTACTGTTTGATATTTTAGGTCAGAAATTTGCAATGTATCAAATGAAGACTGTAATATCAACGGTTGTTAGATACATGAAATTGGAAACACTAGGAACGCAAAAAGATATTGTTGTTATTCCACAGTTGGTATTAAAAGCTGAGTCTTTGCCTAGTTTAAAAATAACATCACTTTTCACAAATCATAAATAATGAGAATTAGGGTTGCTGTTGAGCACAAAAACATGCAAAAATAAAACTTCAGAACACAAGGTCCACTTAGATCCTACAAAGAATGTTATATTTGTAGATCATAGTAATAAGCAGTAGATAATAATAAAAGCAAATAATTTACTTAAATTAGTTAATATTATTTATTTAATATTTTTATTTTATTCATCTTATACTAAAATTTTGCCTGGTCGATTTCCAGTTGTGGATAACAAATTACTTTCAAAGTTGTTTATATTTCAAATTTAGGACGGTAGGTGGATTGCGGTAGAGTAATGTGCAAGGAAAAAATAAAACCACACACCACCCTTCCTCCCTTTCTGAATTTTAAACTCTTAAAGTAATCACGAAAACTTGTAATATATTTTCTGAAATCTTAAAATTGCGCCTAATAAATTTAAAAAAACTTTCAACCCAACCCTGAAGATGTAGCGTTCCAGTGATTTAAGATCTCAATTAATAGGGCACGGTGCAGATAGCTATTATCCAGTGTGTGCCTGCTGACCCTATCTATTGTATGGTATAATTAATGCTGACTAGGCTGGTTTATGGCGAGAAGCAACGTTCAAGTGAAACATGACCATTACACTTGTTAAGTTTTTTGATTTTTATTGTTGTTAAAAAAGTTTTATCACCAAAATTCGAAGTTCCAAATAAAAGAAAAAAGTTTTTCAGCTGTGTCTGTAACCACGAAAGAGCATTTTCATGTCTCGTTGAAGTACCGAATAAATTTAGATTAGTTTTCGATTATAATTTAAAAAAAAAAATTACATGGAGCTTCCAGTTATTGCATAAGCCAAGGAGATTAAAAAATTATGTACAATCAAGTTTCTGGCTAAAATTAACTATAACAAACCTATTACTTTTTTATATGGCTTATAACAATATCACTTTATCTGCCTTGAAAAACTTATAATATTATTTAAAATAAATTTACTAGAATGTAGTGAGAAGTGATATATTCGTTCTAATTCTCAGTTCTAAACACTTAAAATTAAACGTTACTATTATTATTAAGTTAGATTTTTATCGACCACATCGTTGGTAGTACAGTTGCATTTTTAAGTAAAATATATAAGGACGTTGACATTGAGGAACGCCTATATTTTACAATATTTACAAAACAAAGAGATATTACCAGTATATTCATTGTGATTTAATTATGACCATATAACAATAGGTACGTATCGAATGATCTTAACTAGTCTGGACAACATTATTTTCGGATTTGTACATCCGGTTTACAATGAGATTCGTTATTGATACAACGATACAAACCGTAAGCGAACCTATACTGAATATTCTAAAAGCATCGATGATTCCTAAATTCTTGATTATATAACCTCCAACAAAATTTCCCATCGGAATACCTAAAAGAATACAAAATAACTGTAAATTAAATCAATATAATAATCATACGCAAATCAACAAAGCGTTCATAAAGATGAATATAAGCTTAAAACACTTCAAACCTATGCCCTTCATTGCCATTCCATAAAATCCTTGCATCATCCCTTCTGCACCAACTGGAGCCTATTTAGCGGTATACGCGACTCCGGCAGAATACGGTAATGCAAAAGTGATTCCATGAAGTAATTCAACGCTCAAAGCAACCACCGGATTTTTAATAATCGAATAAAGACCAAATCTGATTGCAAAAAACACGAACCCCAATGAAAACACGTTCATATGACCCAACTTTTTGATTATATAACCTAGTAAATACAAGAAAACATTTATGCAATTCGCAATTATTATTTTGCCACGTCTACAAACAGGAATTATTACTTACTTGAAATAAAAAAGAACGGCACTTCCCCTAAAAAACATTGTATAGTCTGAGAAAACCCTTGAATAGTTTTTATATAGGGTTCATATTCAGGATGATATAAATCGGTTATGTCTTCAAAATACCTAAATGCAGAATAAAACAAATTATCCATTGTTAATTGAAATTTTACAAGTTTAAAAAAATTGTTAACGGTTATTATTTTTTCCAAAATTATGATTTGGAATCTATAACTATATCGATGACACGGTGTACAGATATATACAGGGTGGTCATTTTATCGTCAACCACGCAATATCTCATACGGTTGATAAGAAATTGATTTTTATTTTATATTGTTTTTATTATACAATGTGATTCCAATTTTTTTTTTGTTTTTACCTTCCTTCTAACTTAGTTTTTTTATGGCAAATTTTGAAACTTGAATGGTAACGCTTACATTTTATTAACATTATAAATTGAGAATAGTGGACTAAAATCAGTGCGCACTAACCATCCTAACCTCAAAACTTATAATTTTAAAAATAACTATCCAAAAATTGTTATCAACCAGTCAAAATGTTAAGTTAACTATTCTAAAAAAAAGTTAAGTTAAGTTTAAGTTTAAAAAACAAGTAAAAAATAATATGGAAAATTGAGATAACATTTTATAAAAAATAAAAACAATGATACATTGTTTTTTAATTGTACGATATTATATTGAGTGGTTCGCGATAAAATGATTACCCTGCAAAAGCGCAATTTTAATTTTGTTTTGTTATTAGGTGAGGTATAAGAAATAATACTTAAAAGTCCTCTATACAATTTTTGTACGAATATTGGAACACAAAGATTGATATTTTCACTGTTAGAGGACTTGAAATTATTTTTATACGGAGTGATTCATTTTGGGTAAGACACTCATTTTCTCAGAATATATTAGTATTTTGAATAATTTTTTTTTCAATATTTTTAGGTATACAATTTAATGGCATAACTCATTATCTTATATTTTTTTAAATATACACTTAAAAATATCAATTGATAACATTTTCTGTCGACTTTATTTTTGACGTTTGTATTAGGGCACAGCATTCATTTAATCGGTAAGTGTGTTGAAGTTTGACTAAATGTAATTTAATACAATACGAATTCAACTAGCGTTTTTAATTTAAGTTGAATAATTTTTCCGAAAACATTTCATCATTTTAAAATAAATGTTATCATGTCAGAATTATCTTAATGGTTTTGAGAATGAACAATAATATCAATTACTATGAAAATGATTTTTTAAATTGGATCCAAGACCTTACAATGATATAACAAGGTGTAACTTATAAAGTATTAAAGTATGTGTAAATATAAGGCATTCATTTCTAATGTGACATTATTCATGTGAATGTGTAATATCAATATTAATTAATTTTAATGAAAAGTGTGTTGTGTTATGATTAATTTCGAATAATAAATGATACCTGAATTTGTGTATGTGAGTTGGTAGTACCCAACACATATGTTTAAATTAATTTTGAAAATATGAGTAATTATAGTATGCATTAATTAGTAATCACTTCTTAATAATACCAATATTGTTATTAATTTTACTTAAAACCTATGTAAGCATATTATTTTTATTTGATTAATTTTATCTAGGGTAATATATAGTATCTTACCCAAAAGTTGTGTGTCTAACATACAGTACGGAAATTTGACCATAAAGTTTTAGCTATACTGACGGTGAGACTAGTCATTTATTAATATACAATTGTTATCTCTTTAAAACGCTGTAGGTAATGCTATTAATTTGTAGTTATTAAATTCAGTAAATCAAGTAAATAGTTTTTTTCAACTGTTTAAAAAAAAATTAATTAAAATCAGTATTGTAGAGGTTGAAACATTTTAAATTTATTATAATTATTATGGTTTTCGTTTCATTTTAATTATTTTCAAAATAGTAATGTATTTTGACCTAATGTGTACCTAAAAATATTTTGAGAAATAAATATTGTTCAAAATATTAATATATTCCGAGAAAATCTTACCCAAAATTAATCACCCTGTATATATTATACGACATCGTCCCTGTAAATAAAAAAATCAAACTTATGATACCTGTGCACTATACTATCGATGTGATATTGTATCTTACCAGAAGAGAAAATACTGAATAAAGGTATAAAAGAAACCGAACGAGATGGTTGCAATTATAAATACGATTACTCTAAAATCAGTTAAAACTCTTTTCATATCGCCATTAAAGTTTTCTGTTTTTTCAACTTGTTTAACCTAAAAATATACAGATTCATTAGCGTACTTTATTAAAAAGTATCCCTCTACCAAAATGATATCACCATACAACCATAACAGATGGTTTCGGAAATCGCCGTATTAATTTGTTCGATTGAACAAATTGAGCGAAACCAAAATTTATTCTTAGTACAGATTACCTTGATTTTAGCCGAAACGTAAATATCGAAGGCTACGCATATTATTGTTATCACGAATCCGGGTCTAAAGTCGTTATGAGCTCGTCCTTTGCTAAACCAGTCGACGACCACGCCAGAAACCATAGAACTTATACCAAAACCAATTGCTCCCCAAACTACTTGGTGTCCGTATTCGTGTACATTGTCTCCTGGAGAAGAAATGATGATAGTCTTAATAACGATTAATGTCATAACAAAAAAAAAATGGATTAAAATTTATTACATGCTGTCTGAGCGCGAAAACATTTATGGTTAGTGAAGAAATACTTATCGACTAGGTGCATTCATATACCGAGTAGACTGACGCAGATCGTGTCCTCCATCAGCGACCGCATTGTAGATCCGAGGTAAAAGAAAAACAGTAAAAAAAAGAACACCCAGTACAGCGAAGTCTCAAATACGATCTCATCAGCGATACTCTCTGGCGCCGTTGCACCAGGTATGAATATCAATCCGAGAACTGCTATTGCTAAAAGCACCTCTCCAATGAGAAATATTGATTTTCGGCATTGGTAGCGGTCCGTGACGATCCCTATCACAGGCCGTACAACAACACTGGGTATCTGCATACCAGTCAAAGTGATTCCCATCGCAAATGCGGAATAACCTCGTTGTTTTCCAATTGTGGTAAAAAACGGTACAACAGGTGCGTAGGCTAATGTTAAAAATATAGAAATAAAACGTTGATAATTAATAAAAAAATCGCTACTACTTTTCAATGCAACAAAAAAAAAAAAATAAAGAACTCAATCTTTCTAAGATGTTTCGAATTTTTTTTTATTCGAATAACTATTTTTTCGCAAATTAGTTTTTTTTTTAATTATCTCGACAATAAATTAATTAGCCTGAGAAAAATGAAATATTCGAAAAAAACTCGAAATTATTTGATCTCATTTTTTTTGTTTTTAGATTAAATTATAATTATTCGAATAAAAACATCATTCGTCGGTCATTTCAATAAATTTTCTTCTGCGGGTTTTCAAAGGCCATTAAGTCTCATTACCGCAACACAAACCTACCATACCTATCTATCACTATCCTGTGCTACTGTATCTCCTTCCTGAATTCCAATTTCCACTAGACTCTCTGCGACTTTGTCTGTCCACCTTTGTTTAAGTAAGGTCAGCTGGCATAATCTACTTTCTAATTTATCTACGAGTTTTAAAGTTTTAACTTTTACTGGCTATAACATTGAGAAAAAGGGTCGAATCGAGTTGAAATATATATGAAATATTTATTTGGTATGCCACTATACGCCAAAAGTCTCAAATTAAAAATTATACCCATTTCCCATCATCCCCTCTCTAAATAAGGATAAAAGTTTCTTGTATTTTTTAGCAGTAATTTTTGAACCCTTTGTTGAAAATTTGTCAGGATTTTATTTGTCGCCCGCTGTTTACTATTTTAAAATAAAATCATTGGATACAATAGGTTACCCAGACAAGATAGGTAACCCGTTTGGTCAAAGGCACAGTGGTAATTCCGTTTATAAGTGGATTGACCGAACGCATAGAACTAGTAGCAAGAAAATACAGTATAAGGACAGTTTTCTCAACAGTGAAGAAATTGGAAGAATTTTTCCGGAGTCCAAAAGATGAACTACCGAAACTACAAACACCGGGAGTCTACAAACTTCAGTGTACCTGTGGTCATTCATACATCGGTCAACCTATTGAAGTGCGTGCAAGAGAACACGAAACAAATTTGGACTACAAAACAACTGGAAAATGGACCGTAGCATAACACGTGGGTCAAGAAGGTCATAGCGTAAACTTCGAAGAAATCAAGGTCCTGTCTCGAGAATCCCATTACTCGAAAGCATGGTGAGGGAAGCCATAGAAATCGAAAAATGCACAACAAACTTCAACCGAGAAGATGGTTGGAAATTGAGCAACACGTGGAAACTTGTGATATATCAATTAAAAAGAGGACCAAAGGAAACCAGAGACCAAACGGGACGAAGAGAGCCGGAAATACAGCAAAAAACTATTGATAACAAAAACGAAAATCAGTAATGCGGTAGCCGGCCAAGGCGAAGGGGCGTGGCCGTAGAAAACAGCTGTCAGCGGCAAGAGGAAGCGGAGAATGCTGTGGGGGGTATGGTATATAACCTACGCCCACGGAAGCGAATCGGTCAGTCTGCAGCAGAGCGCGGTACGAGCAACATCGAACCACAGCCCTGGAGATGGGACGTGCAAGTGTTCCGAAACGTTGGCGACCTAGTCAAGACATCCAAGTGGGAGTAACTTCAAGTCATGTAAATAGTGTAAATATAATACCCCACTCTAGTTTCAATCATTTTTTAAAAGTTATTTTATTTGTCGAATCATTGCGGTTAGGTTAGGTAGGTTAGGTTGCAGATAACTCACTGCTATAGCAAAAATGCCATGCGATATTTTACTATCGGTAAAGAGCGATAAGGGAATTGAAATTTATAAAAATGTATTTTATTACTACGACGACGACGGGCGATAACAGATCGGGACGGGAGTTGTGCGAAAGAAACCAGTTTTCCATCACGATAAAAAATAGACCAATATTTAGTTGAATTATAACAAATTAAAAAAAACAGTATGCTCATTATTTTAACGTTTTGCTTTTTGAACAGAACCTTTCAACTTTCATCGTAAATTTTAATACAATTTTTACTAACAAATTATATAATTAATATAGTTAGTATAGTTCTATTGTATTATGTTTATTATTATTAAGATCATTCTTTTAATAAGTAAATTATATGGAATTAAATTTATACATTTAAGTGTAGTAAAATTATTAATTTTGATTAGGTTTCTGTGAAGTTATTTTTTTTGAGCTCAGAATTTATACAAGATCATTTACATTCTATACACATTTTAACAATAAAAAAGCCAGTAGAATGGGGTTGGAGCATAGTGGAGACTAGGACGTCACAGGTGTACAGGCATATTTTAAATAAAAACGATAAAATTACTTTTAATGAAACGCTTTGACGCTTATTTTTAAACACTACACATCACTTTAATAATTTCTTACTGTGCTTGGTTTTGACTGTACTGATTTGAACATAATAACCAATGATTCGCATCAAAGCGTTTATTTGTAAATGATTTTATTACTTTCAATTATAATAACTTTTGTAAGCCTGTGACCTCCTTGTCCCCAATATGATCTGTTCCCCACTATGCCCAACCCCACTGTATTAGCTTTTTCTATTGGTATCCATATTGGATAAATGGTAGTTATAATTTTTATATCTTACCGCCCCATGCGAAGAAATAGTTCATTTTCATAAAAAGTAAATCCATGTTGATTTTGCTGCCACATAGCATGATTAATTTTTCTCTACTTTCATAAAAATTTAATGGAAAACAATTTTAAATTAACAAATCGTGTTGTCAACTGAAATACTAAATACCTTATGATGTATTAACTAACTTGAGAGATAGCTTTCAATGATATGTGAATAATATGACATTTAATTGTTTGCTAAAATTGGCCTTCACGTGATTTATAAAAAATGTTTATCTTATGATCTAGTATATAACTTGAGAGATAGTTTTCGATGGTATGTCCATAATATAACATTAAATTATTTGACAATATAATCTGCATTAAAAACACTTATGAGACTCAAGTGTAGTTTACAGAAAAACAGTTGGAAATTGTCAGAAGAGTACAACTGCTGATAATATTGGTCATAATACTCATAAAGTAGCTTTAAATTATGGTTCTGAATGAATAAGACACAACGATCAGATATGGCAATACAGTCAAAAAGAACACGGGTTATCTCCCGCTTCTAACTATTCAGATACGCCCAGATACGTTTTACTGTGATGTGAGCTTTTTTTGTGTCTTTTGTCGTACACTTGAATGACGCTTGTATTTTATGTCTAACCTGAGTAATATTTATTTACTGACTTCAGAGTATAAATGGCCAGTGTTTCTAAACTCGTAGGGATTATACCATCGGTACACTTTGATCTAGAGCTAAGTATGAGAACTTAGTTGAGCCAGTGACTGCTCCGTATTTACTTTATTGAGTTAAGAGACCAATTTACAACAAAGAAACCTATCATAAATAAACTCAGTGACTATTGTTATATTTTACGCTTTCGTAATAATTAAGTTATTAAGGAAAAGGTAGTAGAAATAAATATAATTTTCGCTGTATAAACATATTAACTGTTTGCCATTTGGCCTAGATATATTGCTTAGTTTCATAATAACACTATTTTTCCTTGCTCCTACTACACTTTATACACTGTAACTTTTTTAATACTGGACCAATTTTTTTCAAGTGTTAACTCTGTAGATAACAAATTTCATGTACTACGAAAATAATAGGCCTGGATTATCGATGGCCGGATTACCGAGAGTCTACTGTATTTGGATTACATCATTACTAAAATATCGTACCTAGTTAATGTGATTAACCAGTTTTTTTTTTGTCTTAGCACACATAGATATTTAAATAGAGAGAGAGAACAACATTTATTAAAATATAAAGCGGAGTGCCTGTCTACCAGGTTGTTTATAGTGACACGGTATACCTAGTATACCATTATAACCACAAAAACATCATAAATATGGTCCAAGGTTAGAATTTCGTAGCGGCGCTGTAGGTTGATGACAGATCTACGGAGATTGTTTATATTCGTCAATTCTTCTTGAACGTCTTCGAGCAAGGGGTTTTGACTACCTCTAGGGGTCTGATTATTTTCCGTCGGTTTGTTTTCGTCTGTTTGATCTTCAGTGCTTCGTTCCATATTCAAAAAAATGGCTTGGCTTGAAGTTATTTTTCTAAGAAAGGTATTACATATTATATTTTAACAGCATACTACACTCCATCTTTCCTGGCTGTCAGTGTAAAGAAACGCAAAACATACAGAAAACACTATATGATGTGAACTACACTGGGCAGAGTATTCGTGGGTTTTATAATTCCCTGGAACACATATGTATTGCTCAACAAATGAATCTCTATTCGTATGTCGATGACGTGAAAACATAAAACACGAATTTTTCATGCATATTTTGGAATGACCCCAAGCCCAATAATATATCCATGTTAATATGCCATAACAATATAAAGAATTATTGACATTTTTATGTCTGCTTTGGCTCACAAACGGAAAAATCGACAGTTAATCATACACGGGGATGGAGATGTTAAATATTTTTAATTATGTTTTGTTTTCACAACGAACAAACTTGAATGAACGGATTGATTCAATATAATTAACCAAGTGAATGTTTCGCCTATTAATCGATTAATGCCAATTATTAAAAACTACTTAAAAACTTTTGGCCACAATAAAAAATTAATCATCACCTACCTTTCGAGTACCGTGGTTACCATTGTTACAAACCGAGTGTTTATTTTGGGTTAGCGACGAAAAATATTTCAAGTGGTATCAAGGCGTACGCAAGCCGGTAAAAATTAAAATATAATATGTAGTACCTATGTGAAAACATTTAATAGAGCCTTGCTAAAATTTCAAAAAAATACAAAGCATGTAAAGTAGGGTTGGTTGGATTTTTTTAAATCATTTAAGTTACATAGGTACTAGTACATAGCCGATCAATAAAAAAACCAGCTGTAAAAACGTGTATTGAATACATAGTTTTTTTTCAAGCAGTTTATTTGATTGAATATTCGTGAATTTTTTTTACATATGTAAAATTATTCTAATATTAAAAATATGGACAAAACTCTTAGAAGCTGGGTATTAAGATTTGTAGTTAAAACCAAAATAATTTATTTTATTGTGGAGGATCTACTGTATAAATAGGTAGTAGATATAGGAAGTTGAAATATGGATTATCGATAGCATAATTAAAAAATGTTGTCAGTACAAAATGTCGAGAGAAATTTTACAAGAGAGTATTCTAAAGTTTTTTGGTTCGCACTTCACAGTACTTAATACGAATATTACGGCTTCACTATATGTTTGTATAAAGAGATTGCTGTGTCAATGGTTTTATAACTGATATGGATTATTTTACGTCGTCAAATGGTTAATTGTGTTGTACATGTTTGAACAATTAATTTACTACAATGTGACTTATCTCTCAGTGGAGTATCTTTTCAGTATTACCGCCAGTTGAACGATTTTCTAAATATATTGAAATGTCTTTAATCTGTACAACAAAACTAGTTATAAAATATAACACACATGGTATAGTCAATTTTTTTTGTCAAATTAAATCGTATAATCTGAAATGGTCATACATTTTTTAGTCGAAAATCAAATGCCTACAAAAGTGTGTTCAGATAACTTCACTCTTATTTGCATAAACTAACGTTGCTTTATTAAATGAAATAAGTTGATACAAAACATTGTATATGGTTTCATATATTATTTCTAAATCTCTTTTTTTTAAATTCCATCTACAAAAACGCTTGTTTTTATTCTGGTTGTAACTTGTATTGCAGAGTAAAACGTTTGTGACGTAGTTTGATGATTACATTATCAATTTTTATTATTTAATAAAAACCAATTTGTCAACATAACATAATTAACTGAATATGGATTTTATTATGCCACAGTTGATATAAAGACGATTTGAACAGAACTCTACTTTTTGCGGATTGACCGAATTTAATTTATGTAACTATAAATTGGCAGCCATTTCGTGAGAAATGACAACATGAGTTGATTATAATATAGTTGTTCTAATTATCGATTTGTCAGACCGAATAATCTTAGATGATAACCATATTGTAAATTAGGTATGTAGATAATATTTTTTATGCGTATCTCTTTCCATATTAAAACTACACCTAACAAGACCTTTAACGTATAACAACTACCTAAATGTATTACAAGGTGATTGTTTTATCATGAACCTGTCAATATCTAACTGGGTTATAATTGGTAATTGAATTTTTTTTTATACGTTTTTATAAAACGTGATCTCAATTTTTCACAATTTGTTTTTGTTTTTACCCCCCTCCATAAACTAGTTTTTTTGATAGCAACTTTTGAAACTATGATAACGTCTATATGTACGAGTATTTTATTAAATTTTTAAATTGAGAATAATCTACTAAACATTTTGATTGGTCGATAACCAGTTTCGGACAAATATTTTTAAAACTATAAGAATTTAGAAGTTAGGATGGGAGAGGAGCTGCGGTTGGAAAATGCGCGCAGATAAAAATTAAAATATACTCCTTCTTTCTCCATGCCCTTAACTTGAAACTGCAAACATTTCAAAAACAGTTATCCGAAACTGGTTATCGACCAGTCAACATTTTTAGTACATTATTCTAAATTAAAAAGTTAATGAAATATATGCGTTACCATTTAAGTTTTAAAAGTTGCTATCAAAAAAAACTAAGTTGGGAAGGGGTAAAAACAAATGAAAATTGTGAAAAATTGAGATCACGTTTTATAAAACCGTTATAAAATAGTAAAATGCAATTATTAATAAAACCCAGTGAGATATTGACTGGATCATGATAAAAGAATCACCCTGTATGTAGAGCACAGCGTTAAACATTAATGCGTATGTAGGAATATGAACAGTACTGTCGCTTTTGTACTATTTCAATAGACTTGTTGTGCGTAAAAGTACAGTGTACTTATAACTACACTAGCGGGACATTTTGGACACCACTAATTTTTATTGTATATTATTTTATTAGCCTCAAAAATGGTTTTTATTTGAAAAATTTTCGCATGTCAACTAGGTATTACAATTGTCTATACCATCAATAGAATATATCTAAACAATTCGATTTTATCATCTTATAAAAATATTATCGATCATTTTTTCAGCGAGTGCCGAATTTTTCGGGCGTCGTTATACCTGTTTCGGTGACAGTGTGAGAAGAGGAAGAGGGAAGTGCATGCACGCACATGCACATGTGCATCACACTGGCCAAACCAATTATCCGATAAGTAAACTGAAAACATGTTTGAATTTGTCATGAAATTACATGAGATCGGCCCAGTGTACTTTTTTTATATTTTATTCCTACTACGTATAAAAACAAGTTTGAAGATTTTGTAAACTTTCAAATTTTAAAATCAAATTTGGAAAGGGTTAAAATTAAAAATTAAAAAAGTGCCCCAACCGAACTCAAGTAAACTTCGTGAAAAATTCAAATATGTTTTTGGATTGCTTATCTGATCACTAGTTCAGTCTGTGCGATGGACAAAAAATGTTGTGTTTTGACTGAAAAACGGTCAGTATCGTGAATTCTCATAGGTAAAGAATATTGGAAAATACACAATATTATAGCACAGGATCCTCTCGTATATGTTTATGGTCATGTGTAGTTTTCTTGCACAAAAAAAAAAATAGAAAAAAATTTCTTAAGAAAACTAACTTAAGCTGTACAAAACAATACATATATATTATTTTACTTTATTACACTTTTAGTAATATATCTGTCGTATGCTATATATTTTTCATGAGTGCGATTATATTACTCTCAAAATATAGTTCTGCTAAAATTATAGATAATGTTACTTTTGAACATATTATTATGGTTAACGATTACAAGTGTGATTTCGGCGATGCCGCCGAAAGATGTGGGGAAAAAAAGAATAAAGGACGACATGAACAAAGTCAAACGTCTTCATTTGGGTTCATATCTTATAAAAGAAAATACGAATCATGAAAAGATGGAAATTATGACAAAAAGAAGAATCGAGTATACTTACAAACAACTTCAGTGCAGCTATGCGTTATTCGCTATTCGATACGTGCAATTGATCGAAGAACTTTTGGCGGATCCGGCGAATTGTCTGAAGCAAGATGACTTTAAAAAATTGTTGTTCGATGAAGAAGCTGCGGTGATATTAGCCACCGCTATAAATATGCCCGATTTAAGAGGTCTTGAGCACACCGCATGGTCATTCTGGTTGTACGCGGATAGAGTGCACAGGTTTTTGGACTCGAGCACACTTTTAGATGAAATCGACAACCAGCAGCATTCAGCCATTCTGAATTTTGCTGAACTCAAGAACCTCGTTCAGCTGCTCGTGAACGTCATTAGGGAACGGACTGATGACACCATACACTTCATAATCGGTCGTATCGAATCGTGCACAATTTATAGTGATGCGGTATCAAGAAACGCTGGTGTCGAGGAGATAGAGAATAAAATAACATATTTCTTGCCAGAATTAAAAATTACAGCCCTAGCTTTATCCGAGTTTTTAATAAAAAACTACCACAAGAATACAGAAGACACTGAAGTGTTTCACGCATCGGTAGTTGAACAATTTCATTCGTTTGTCAAAATCGCTATACAAGCGTTGTCCGACGTTGACTTCACTATCGTCAACTCGTTTATTGCATACACATCTTCCGAAGTGTACCAACACATCGCCTCATCAGAAAATTGCAGTAATGCCTGAATAATTATAAATTAAAATTTGCTCTCGTATTTGTGTTGTTTTAATAAAAATTATGTTCTGAAAAAGTATATGTATAATATTTAATAACAGCTTTAAGCAAAGGGGTTTTCCGTTTAACAAAAATTGGATTCCATCACTGGGAGTGTACTTTAATAATTGAAGATCTTTTTGACTTGACGTTAATAGTCATACATAAAAAAGACTAGCACCTTCACGTAGAGGTAGTGTAGAATGTCTCCAATATACCGGTCTAATGTATCATTATTAATTTATTGACAATACAATACTTAACGGTTTGCAGTCATTTAGTCATATGTTGGCGGTTGAAAAAATACCTGGATTTTTCTTATCATTTATTTTGAAACCGAAACAAAAATAACAAATTTTCATTGCGTGATTCAAATAATGTAACACATTAACATTGATTGATTTCGCGATGCTACTTTGGAAAAATTTGTTCGGAAAATAAATAAATTATAATATCGTCTGGTCAATACACACTTAAATTATCAGCGATCGTGGCAGTTTTCTGTTTAGATTCTTCAGCTACAAAAGAGTATCGCAATTATTATTTTTTATATAGATTACAATTCATTAGTTTAACATACCATAATATATTACATATATATTATTATCATTTAACGTATTAAGATTCTCGTAAAGGCGCGAAATAGCGTGTATCACTAAAATATATATTAAACCATGTCGTCATTGTGATGTCAACCATATTTAATTCTGTCAACGATATTAATTAACTGTCTTTCATTATCTACTTACTTCACAAAATTCAGAAATAATTTTGTGGTTTTTTCAATCACAGTTTAATAAAAACAAATTTATAATAACATAATGAAATGTATTTTCAAAATCTTTTTTTTAGTTACTTGTCAAAAATAAAATATAATTTTTGTCGTCTTATTATATAATTTGTATTCCTAAACACAACATACCTACTATTTTTTATATATTTTTTTTATTTATTTCAATGTTGCTTAACATCATCATTCTTAATTTAAATTTGTACTTTCAGATATTTGTCCAGAATGTAGATCAATTTTTTTTTTCAAATTACGCATATATTTGAATAATATATATATACTATATTATATATTATGATAGCATTTATGTAATATTACAGATTATAATAATCCGGAATTAAAAAAAATAAACAGAAACTAAAATCATTGATATATATATGAGGTAGAGACAGTTTAATGTTTAATTTATTATTACAATAGAAAAACAAATTATAAAAAAAAGGAACTAAGTGTAATACAAATTTACATTTTATACATTCAATCATTAATATTTCAACTAAAAACAAATTTCAAAAAACTACAAAAGATACAATTTAGTACAAGCAAAATATATAGGTTTTATGGTCAAAAAACAACGAAAAAGAAAATTATATACCTATAGGGTACAATACAGGTAGTATAAAAATATGTAAGATTACAAAAAGTACGGGAGTCGATCCAAACCAGTGTTAGGTGGTCCTCCTAAAGTTTGACCAGCAAAATATGCCAATTTATGGGCTAATAAACACGGGGCTGGTACACGAATGGTGCCCTGAAATAAAAACAAACATGCTATAGCGTTTTAATAATTAAATATTTTTTAGTTCAAGTAAAACAATAGTTACTCACCGACCAATTAAAGTACATATGACACAACTTGAATGTAAGTTTTTGCATATGATCAGGTGGAAGATTTAAGGTATCTTCAATAATCTGGTAGTGTGTTGGCGACACTGTACCTTGTCTTGAATGTTGTGACACTAAGTAGAAATCGTATCTAAAATATGGTACAGATATTAAGAACATTACAATTCACAACATAATAATTATAAAACTAGTTAAGTTTATAACGTCTGCACTACACGTCTGTCATTTGATAATATATAATATTTTTAATTCGCTTTGTCAGTTAATTAATTACACAAACTAGGATTTGAAAATAAAATTAACTCATTATAAACTCTAAATACTACTTGTATGTATGTGGTACCATTTAAGTTACATTGTCCCCCCTAAATCAGGCTTCTGGCTAAAAAATGTTTAAATGATTATTATCATAAATATAAATTTTTATATACAAATTTTTTCTGTCCGTGTGTGAGTATGCAAACTCCTTCTATACTTATGAAATTTTGTGTGCACGATTAAGTTGATTCGAGAAAGGTTTAGATTCAAAATTTGATAATTTTTAATTAATTAAAATAACTAATAATGATTATCAATAGTATCGATAGTTATCAATACATCTCTATGGTTTTTCATACCAAAGGGATACAGTGATCCGATCAGCTAATTGTGTGTCTATTCTAATACACGGGCAACGCCGGGTCGGGACAGCTTGTATAATATATAATGTAATATAATTGTAAATCAAAAAGGTTTTACAGATATATTATGCAATGTATCATACCGCCAAAAAGCCTGTATGACCTGTATTTGCTTCTACACTAAGTTAGTACAATAAGATAAACAAAAAAATAATTATATCAGCTTACTTTGTGGGGTCGGTAACAACAGTATCCACAACTGTACCAGCTGGTGGATTACGTATGTTATGTTTGGTGAAAAACCTGGCGCTAATTCGTTTGGTAACTATGACAAACGTCATTGGAACTCCGGCGTCGCCGTAGAATTCTTTAATAGCGGCCTATAGTTAAAGGATATACATGTAAATTTTTTAAAATTATTCCAAGTCCATTTGAACAACAGCATAAAAAAACAGCTATTACTTTAAACAGTCTAATTTCGATTTTTTGAACATATTGAATCTGCCCTTCGCCCACCCCGTCTCTGAATACAACTATACATGATGGCAAACATCCATTTATTGACTTATACGTTAATAAGGCCTCTGGAAAAAATTGTAAAATTAAAAAACCTTGTTATTGACAAAATACAACGTAAATAAAATGATCTCCTAACTGCTTATAGTAGCTGCAAAATGATTGGACAACTCTTCGCCCACTTCGTGGGGCTCGACACAGCTAAATATATTAGTGTGGGTATCGCCCATTGTGGCAATCAAAGCTCCAAATGATATCTTTTTCTTTCCCTTTTGAGTATGGTAAACATCATACCCAACTATCATCATACCCTATATATTTCAACAGAATAAATTTTAATATTGTTTAAAATATTTCACTAATTGTTACTTTTTTGGGAATTTTGACGAGCCACGGAGCACCTCCTAATTTGCAGTTTAGTTGTATAGCAATTTTCGTAGCAACAGACAAATTATTTTTTTGTACATTTTTTAGAAGTACCACTTGAGATGGCACTAGACAAAAGTTTATACAACATATTAATCATCATTGTTTTAAATTTCATCCGATATCAGTATTATTCAACGACGATTTACCTGCCCGGTCAACACACAATTTTCGTTTAATGACAGCGTACAGCTGTCCTCTGGGTGGAATAACGCAAAGTATGATAAGTGGATTTCTTTGATTTATTACTTGTTCCAAACTACATATAATGGTATCTGGTCGAACATCTTGCAGAGGTACCCTGTAAAACAAAATTAATTGTTTCGTGTAACAGGACTTTAGTGTTGAATCAAATACTAGATACTCACATAACGGGCTGCGGTAAGGTAAAGTACATCTGCTTAGCCGCCCTTTCTAGACTTTTGACGAAATTGTTCACTTCTTGTATGTTTTGTACAGGAGCCACAACGACCCAACACTTAACCACTGCACACATGTACATGGGTAACATGCGTAAATGTTTCGTCCAATCGGCCTCCTCTCCGCCACTATAGTTCTTTGAATTACTATAAATCGGTTCGAAATTCAAAACGCGCCCGGTGACTTCAACAAGATTATTACTTAATTTCAAGTTCCATTTCTTGAACTCTTCAACAGACTGCGATCAAATAACACAATCATTCACTAAATTTTGGAAATTCACGTTTTACCGGCACAAATTTTTTCACTTACGTTATTTGATGACAAAACACGTTTAACGAAATTTTGAAGCCGCCTAACCCTTTCATCTGGGTTTATACGCGTGTATGAGGCCATTTCCTTCATAAGATTGAAATTATTTCTGTAACATAAATTAATTAATGTATAATGAAAAATTACTAATTGTCTATTGGAAATACATGTACACGATGATATGTACACGTTTTATAAATAGTAATGAAAAACAATAAAGTTGCTTTGATATAATATATTATTTATTCCATAGTATGGTGACAAGAAAATCACAGAATATATTCTATAGTCATAGAAAATATCCTGATTTTATGTATTATAATTTAAAGGTTTATCAGTTAATTAAGATTTGTTTTTTTTTTATCGAGTTTAAATCCCACATTTATTGTTATATATTAACAAAACGTTACGAACGTAAGTATTGAACGATTTGAAAAACTATATTCACTATTAACTTGGATTAAAAAGAAAGTCATTTTAAAAATAATTGTCCTTGTAAAACCGTATTTATTTATGTTTCCTAAACGGACTGTGTTAAACGTTTGCAAAGAATTTTGCAATTAACTGAAAAAAAATGTTTTATATAAATGTGAGTTAAACACACATTGAAATATCAAAACATATCACAATGCCTTCTCAACGAAGAGTTTTAAGGTCACAAATAATGTCTAAGCTAAAAAAACATTAGGTACCTATTTTATTTTTGGTTAAGTGCGTATTTGTAAAGCGACCTAGTGTCTAAGTACATCGAGTTTTACATGTAGATAATAATGGCCGTAAAACTAATAAAGTAAATAAAAAATCTTAGTAAAATCAGATTTACAAGTATACTATGTTATAAATTATCCGTTTAGCTTATAAATAGCGCAAGGGTCATATAGTAGATATTGTTCCACCCCTCTTGACAAATGTTCTCAGTGTAAAAAGGTACTGCTTTTTCTCACTCAAAACATACCAAATTAGATTATATAGTACATAAAAGTTACCTCATCTGAGTGGTTAATCCAGTCATGACACATAGTTCAGGAACCAAATACACCAAACATTCTTCTTCTCCAAATAGTCGTACAGATTTTTTTTTGTTTTTTGATACAAGCATGGGTTGCTTGCCACCGCGTATTTGTACATTCCATTTCTAATTTACATAATAGATTAACATGGGTAACTATTATAACTTACAAACGTTACAACAATCAGTGAAAATGTCGATGTAACCTCTTTGTAGTATTGGTAATATGACATTATTGTGCCATCTTTTCTGGGAAACGTCGATGATGGATCCGAAGTTTCATCAATATCATCAATAATATAACTCTCGTTGTTGTAAGCTGTCATGACAGTTGTTCCAATAACTCCGTTTTTAAAAGTGTTCTGTACAAAAGTAAATATTAAAAAAATGTAAAGCGTTAATAAAACCGTCTAACTGGCAGCGCAATAACAAAACAAATCCAATAACTAATGTAGTATTGTCTTTGAAATTGGATTAGTTGGTATTAGTAGTTTCGTTAGAACGTAAGAAAATGATAAAAAGAATGGGAAAACCCTGTAGGCTGTCTAATAGTTTTTTACAAAAATAATTAAACAGTATTGATATTAGAATATCTCAAATTTTTATAAAATAATATTATGTAGGTACCTAAATTGAAATTATTCTACTATTATTGATAACACTTATACAAACAAATTATATGAAGATATATTATAAAATTATATAGACATGTATCATATAACAATACCATATAACGATATAACATATATTATATAGTTACTTAGCATTACTTATGTTTTTCTTCAGTGTTTTGAACTGTAGAAATAACACTATAAAAAATTAATTATAAAATAATATTACCTTAAACTAGCAATATTTATTTGTAATGTGAAATATGAATTAAATTGTATGTCCATAAGTTATAAATATGTTGTGTTGTGGGAAACCTAGGAAGAAAATGAAACGGTATTGAAGAAAATATTTATGAACATTTGTTTTGTTCTTTCTGTACAAACATGTCTCGAGAGCTGCAAGATTCTAAAAAGTGTATACAATATTTTACTAACGAACAAAATAAAAGATAAATAGTTTGCTTACATCCTTATGTTTTTATCATTTTTATACTTTAGGGATCTAGACAGTGGGACTAGCAACAAAAACTCTAAAAAAGTTGTAATGTCAGGAAGGTGATGAAGAAGAAGAAGGGACCAAGTTAAAATTCTTGAGATAGGTAGGATAATATTATTTTCAAAATCCATCTGTCATCTTTAATTTTGTTCATATATAAGCGCTATAACCGCTCAGTTTTGTAGAATAGTTTACCATCCAATCTGGATCCTTATATCGTTCCGCGGCACAATGAAGAAAAAAGTCCAAGACTGTCTCTTGACGCATTACTTTGGTTGATATCTCCGCACACATTAATATGCTATCGTTCTCATACTTGGCAATGGATGTTTGATATCCAGGCCAAAGTTGGAGCTTATGTGCTGGAATGTCAATCTAGAATAGATCAAAAAAATTACAATTATAAATTTTAAATGTAATATAAGTACGCTCGTCAGTAATTATGTACATACATAATATATAATTAATACTGACCTTGGCTTCCGGGTCGTAAAAGTTTCTGGAGATAAGTTTTAAGCCAAGATGCCGGATGCAATTACGCAAAAGTAAGTTGAATATTTGCATGTAAGCATAATCACCAGATTTCAAGAGATTAGTGAATTTTACTTTTATTGTGACCATTTTATTGTCATTTCGGGTTTGCGATGTTAGTTCAAAGGACTGAAATAATAAAACAAGACATTATTCTGTGCACCTCATAAAACAAACCGTACTAATCATTTGTTCTTACTTCGGGGTTCAGCCTAGAGCTTGTAAACAACATAGTCCCATCGAACAAATAACCGCCAAAAATTTGTCGGTGTTGAGCCAATAAACTTCTTTTGACTGCAATGCGGTCTTCCTCAGGATCGAAATCGACTCGATATTGATATACTTCCCATTGCGTTAATCCTTTATTGGTTGCAATAGCCGTTAACGGGAAATAATTTGCTAACAACTTTAATTCAGTTCCGGAGAAACCTATAAATTATATTTAAGTCAAGCTCTTATAAACTGTTTTTGATACAACTTGACTACAAGGTAGTGCCGATACCCTAGATATTGTGATTGGATTATATTATTAAAATTTGTGGATTTTAAATGGCTATATCCGTGTACTTCATTTACCCAGTGTGAAAGTATTTTAAACGAGGCCCTGGACAACTTAAGAATTTACTTTTCGAGAAGAAGGCTCAAACCAACAACTCAAAAACTGTTTCTTCTCTATTTCATTTGAATAACAGAGAAGCTAACGTTGAAACGAAAACGAAGTCGGAATATCAAAGTATTAAGCATGAATTTATCCCTAAATACCTTGGAGTTACTCTAGATAGAACATTGACCTATAAGGGACATCTCGAAAACACAGCGAACAAAATTAGAACAAGAAATACCATAATCGCCAAGCTGCCGGGTATTAAATGGGGAACAAATACTCAGACTTTGCGAACCTTTGCTTTGGCATTGGTATATTCAGCGGCAGAGTGTTGTGCGCCTGTTTGGTTAAATTGTAAGAAACAAAATTGACAATCAGCTGAATCAATCAATGCGAATGATCTCTGGGTCCGTAAAATCAACTCCTTCAACCTGGGTCCCTGTTATGGCAATTATTCCCCCCCCCAGGCTTAAGACGAGAAGAGGCACTCAGTAAAGAATGGAAAAAATATCTAGAAAATCTCAGACTCACAACCCGTTCAACTATTGACTCCCTTCCATATATGCACAACTTAGCAGGCGGAGCTACAGAATGGTTGGTTAAGCTACCATTGGACTTATAACTCCATACAATATAAAAAAAGAAATTGCCGTAATTAATTATTTATTATTACCTATTATCAATGTTATCATTATTATTATTATTATTTATTACTATTACTTTATTCTATCTGTTTTGTCTTACATATATTTATTGTGTGATAATGATATAAATCTGTTTCAAGCCATACGCTAAATAAAAAATTTACCCAGAAGTAAACTAGGCAGTTATCGGCTTAGTGGTAGAGTTAAACATAAGGATTACGTAAGCACATAGCCAGCTATTTTGTTAGTGAACAAGTATTCCTTTATGGGACGGTTTTTTTTAATTTCTTGCAACTATATAGTCTGTAGAAGAATCCAAAAAGAAACCCATCAAACGTTTATCCGATCCAACAAATTTGATATAACTGAAAACACTAATTTATAGCAACGTGCTAAAAAGACTTGGAGCTTTTTCAGAAAGATCCATTTGGACGGTTACTTATTAAAGCTTTGAGTACAATCATATAAGAAATCTTATTTAAAATTAAAAAATATGTAAGTTCTGTTTAAAAAAAACTTGTTTTTATTAACACAATTTTATAAAAAATTATGCAGGATTATTAAAAATTCTTAATTTGCTCGTACTAAGATTTACAAATAAATACCTACGATCAACCTTTTTAATTAATATGTTGTATAACTTCCTCTTGAATTCAATTCCTGGTTTTAAGCCGTTAATCGAATACTATATATGTATTCAGTGTACGAACTAAAATAACCTTTTCTCAAAATCCTGTAATAGTATCCGAGTTTGTAGATTTCTTAATTCCGATATAAATTATTAAGTTACCAGAAATGAACGTATAAATATTTTGGCTGAATAAAACCCGTACCTAATTATTATTTAAACTGAAGAACACCTAAATTTAAAACTTGTTTTTTTATCACAATAAACCAAAACCAACAGTCCAAAAAGTAATAGCGGTGAAAAACTTTTTTATTGTGTTTTTTGACGGAATTACAATATAGCGGTGAGATTTAGTTTTTAAGCTATAGGTAAAAATCTAATTTTACTTTGTGTTTTTTATAAAAAAATATTAATAATAATTGAAAAAACAATTTATTGGCACGTTCGTTTGTTTTTAATCGTGGTTTAGTCATTGAACTCGATGATGTAGGTAGATTGAATAATATTAAGGCCTAAATGTTAACTTATATATTATATATATTAAGGCAGATTGGATATAATCTTACATAATGTTATAAGGAAATATTTAGTTTTTGTAAAGAAATTTGCTTATGTACGACTTAAAACTTGAAATTTATCAAAATTTTTTAATATCGAGTGTTTTGATTAAAATTAGAATTAGATGTTTGATTTTTAGCTTTGCAGGGTCACTACGGCTTTTACCAGTTACTTTTTTCCAATTTTAAGAATTAAATTATAATACAAATAAGGCTTTAAGATTAAGATTGTTAGTGGGGCGAGTGCGTTCCGTTTCAATTGTTTACTTTATTAAAAACCGGTATTGTACTAAAATGTTTACAATTATTTACAAAACACCGCTAGTATTTTTTTTAATAATATAATAGGAATGTTATTATAAAATGTAGAAGATGTCGATAAACACTTTGTTGAAGTCTTTTATGTCAACAATGCTAGAACATGCAACACTTAAGTCATTATTGGATTATTTAACTGAAAATTATATTAATTCTGAAAAAAAAAATTTTCTGTGTGTTCTTTATATTTGAGCAAAAAATAAAAGTAGTTCTTATTATAAGTTCAATAAATATAATATACACACCATAAAGATATTTTTAAAAATGTTAAAAAAGATTTATTTCGACACTAAAATAGCAATCCGAAAAGCCTTGTAGACACATGAAAACAAAAAGTAACTACAAGTCGAACAGTTGCATTCATTGAAAAAAAACACCAACAAATTTAAAGCTATGCAAATTAGCCTATTGAAAAAAAATTGTATTGTTTTTAAACACACAATAGTAAAAAATAAGTACATTACACTCATCTTAACTTGTTGGGTGTTTGCAAAAAAAAAGAAAACTTTTTGTGGCGTTCAACACTATACACCATGAGTAAGTGAACCAAAACGCATTCTGGCTATTTAAGAAAAACCATTAGTCCTTTTTGGGATGCTGTAAAAACGTTACCACCGTCATTTTGCGACACTCGAGATATCATCTTAAGATCAATGTATCTCGGCAACAAACATTGGCAGCAAATGTTAATTAATTTTCATTAAATATACAGTTGTGCACCAAGACACAACAGTACGACCGACGGCCCATGTTCAAAATACAACACACAGCCCTGCATACTTATACATAATCTAATTATTATTTACCTTTTTTTCCTGTCGGAGCCAAAGAAGATTCGGGGCGAGGTGCTTCGAAATTGTCCATTTCAGGAACTCTACGACCGCGTATACTTCCCCGACCAACAGGAATTGTAGTATCGTCTATACAAAAAAAAACCCAGTAAAATCGATTTTACTTTTACACATTATTCAAAAAAGTTATAATTAAAGTTTACCCGACGTGACCAAATTTTTCACATCTCGTGTAACCGGCTTGGCCTAAAAGAAAAACGTTTTGAATAATAATTGTCATTCTTAAATCATAATTTCTTAAGTCAGTTATTAATATTCGATTTTAGTTTACTTGTGGAGCAACAGATTCACAGACAGGTGGTCTGATTAGAACCGGTCTAGGAGTTTGGAACGACGTGGGACGCGGTGGATGCGGTGGACGGACACCGCATGGCTGTGGGTATCTCGGTGCAGAAATGATTGCAGAACGCATTCCGGTATCTAAGCGACGAGACTTTCCTCTTGTCGGTGCAGTACCGCTCATTTTAGTTTTAAACTAATAAAAAAACTGTGAAAACACGAAAAATAAATAAATATGTTTTCTATAAAAACATAAGAATAAGTATATTTTCTGTTATTAATGTAGTTGAAAGTTTGTTTTTATCATACACCGTCAAATGATAATATTTATATTTACTACTACCCCACCTATCTAAAATGTTTCTTATTCTTATAATAAAACACAGAAGGCACTAACAGAAAGCTGGGTAGATAGGAGCTACTTATTTTTTATACTCGATTAGTGAAAACAAAAAAGTAAATTTACAATAAATAATATTAAAAAATACATTATAGTCTTACTAAAAAATTTAATTTTTGTATAGTAACCGTACAGTAATACACTTGCGGTGAAATAATATGGTTTATCGTTAAATAACTTTTATTAGTAAAACGTCTCTTATATTTATTAGCAATTTAAGTTAAAATAGATATTCGATCGTTGATAAGTTGATATGTTAGTGGTACAGCATAGAAATATCTAGTTACCTGTCAAAAGAAATGCAATGACACGCTGAGATCCGAAAAATGTTCTTAATGTAATGACACTAAATATTTGACTTCGGACAATCGACAATGAAATAAAAATGAACACTCAAACAAAATGGTTGATGATCGCGAGACGTTGCCATGGATTGTTTAAAATACACTTTGGAAATTACCACCTCCATATTATTTCAAAGACATCCGATATTTGCTTTTTATGTTTGTACAAGCAAAGAGATTAGTAGTAGATTGGTTTGTCTCTCTACCAGGGACTACTGTTTCCCAATTAATATGATTAAAATTGTATAAAACATTTATAGGACATATTTTTAGTTCCCCCTATCCTTGTTTGCCATCAGTTTTAGTTGAACATGATAAAATAAGTTTTATTATTTTCAAAATGAATTTTAAAATTTGCCTATTCAACTGTTAAATGGCAAAATACTTTTTCAACGCTATGTATAAACGACCATGGTGGAAAAGCTTTCATATTCATAATGAACAACATATTCATATATCTTACATTTATATTTATAATGAAAAAATTCGTGCCAAATCAATTACACGTGACTACATCAAAACCGACTTGATTACGTTTAACTAATTTCCCAGAGTAACGTGGCAAAAGTTTCCATAGAAATTAAAATCCAAAATTTAATAACCTAATCTAGGCAACTAAGCAAACTAGTAGCAATTTAGGGGAAAATACAAATCCGCATAGACACTATCGATAGACAAATGAGTTGTACAGGCGAAAGAAAACACCAATATGCCCCGACTCCGTATTAGCTTTTGTTACTGTATTTCTAGCTATAAAATAAATATGTATAAATTCACATTATGTCATACTACTCACTCACTATCCAAAATGTCAACACCAAGCACTTCGGGTGTATGGGCTAACTGTTGGTTAAGTGATAGTTCGAATAATGCCGTTATATTTACCATGTAAAAGCACCAGTAACTCATTGACTCATAAGTTAAATCAAAAACAATGTTATAAACATGCGTTTTGTGTGTACAATTACTTATCACGAATATATAGACTCGGACGGTGCTAAAAGTTAGATCATAGATCTACAAGCCCAACCAAATTTGAGGTATACATTTGAAATTTAAATTCTTCCATTTTAATAGAAATATACTCACGCCATTGTTTTCATTGAACGGTTAAAAATTAAAGGTAATGTGAAGTGAATGTAAGAGCATTATTCAAAGTAATTTTTAACTATGTTTTTGTAGTTATCTACTAAACTATTGTGCAATGTTTTTAGCACCTATAAAGATAAAATATTATGGACTATCGCGAATTAACTTTTATTACTAAAACATGATTTATTAGTAAATTAAGTTTAAGACTAGCTATTTTATCGTTGATATGTCAGTGGCACAGCATTATAAGTGTTTATCTTCTTACCTGTTAATAGAAATACGATAACACGCAGAGATTCGAGAAAACGTATTTAATGTAATGACACTTGGCTATACAAATATTTGACTTCGGAAAATGAAATAAAAATGAATAGTCAAACAAAATGGTTGATGATCACGGTGAGGCGTTGCCACAGATTGTTTGAAATATGCTTTGATATTACAACGACCATACTTCAAAGACATCCGATATTTTTTTTTGGGGTTTAAACCAACAAAGATAGTATTATTGGATTGGCTAGTCCATCTTTCAATGTTTTCAAATACTCCAAATAATAGGTTTAATATGGTATAAGACATTTTAGTTCCCCCTATACTCCTTTACTGTGAAATGTAGTTGAGCAATATAAAATAATTTTTCTTTTCCGTTTAATAATGTTTTTAAAAGATAAATTATTTTTATTAAATAATTTAGTGACAACATTATTTAGGGAATAATACAAATCCGCACTGAACAATAATATCGTTTTTTTCAATAAAAAAAAATTGGTATTTTCGGATTAGGCTAAAAAAAACTGTTAATGCTACGAATTAAACAATTATGACAATGTTATTTATAAAAGCTACTAAAAAAATATAATACGAGTGAATTTTGATAGTGAAGTTATAAGATGTATTTTAAAATTTTTAAATATTTTTTTTATATAATGTGTTAAAAACATTAGAAATTAAAACCCATTATTACATGTGTCTCATTATTATGTTTTATTATCTATACATTTTAAACTTAAAATACTTATTTTATGTACAATTTTTCAATTTTTTTTTTCTGTTCTCATTTCTTTTTCGGTTGCTTTAGATATTCTATCATTTTCTGTATTTAAAGGGCTTGTCCCGTAAAATGTTAATAAATTTAATTAAATTCAAATAAAATACATATTTTTTTCAATTATTCTGAAAAAATATTTCTGTGAAGCTGCATATTATTGAGTTTAATAATCATTTCTTTTCTGTCGTAGATTACAATGAGTCTTTTGAACAATTTAGAAACCTTAAGTAATACAAAAATATAAAAAGAACATCATTTTACTATGCTTTACATTATATTCCAACGACAAATTCTATTGATAATAAGGTGATTATAATTTTTTTAGCTGTGACTTAGCTTGTATAATTACAAATAATTTAATTATTATTACAATAAATATTAAAGTGAAGTTATTTTTTAATTATTAATAAATAATACACCACTGTGTTTAGTATACTAAATATTGAACATATACACACCATTGTGAAATTTCTTTGAGATATTGGTATCGGTACAATAACATTTTAAGTGATATTTTAAAATTTTGATTGGCGATAACATTTTTAATAAATACTTTTAGGGTAATATTAAAGTGTGATTTTCATATAAGGTAGGACAGGGTGTAGAAGAACCCGAAAATATTTTCGGTTGCATCACACCCGCTTGCTTACTTCATCTATTTATTAAAACTGCAATAACCCGAAACCTGATTATAGGTATTGAGTTGCTACTCGATGGAATTGGCCCAGTATTAAAAAAGTTATAGTTTATACAGACACAAAAAAAAACTCACATCATTGTAAAACCGTGATGCTCCGCGTCGAAGCTAAAAGTCATAGTTTAAAATAATTATCAGGAAACGATCAAAGAACGAAAACATCACGTTATGCTTACTATTATTTCACCGAAGCAAAATCATCATTAAAAAATAACCTTATAACTATGACCTATGTAATCAAATATGATTGTGTTAATCACTATTTAGTGTACAATATTGAAATCAACGAAAACTCCGCGTACAATGGCTTGTTATTATTGTATTATTATTCTAGACAACATTCTAACCACACCAGTGGTTAACAAGTTTTGTACTAGTTCAAATACTGTAGTAAAATGGAAATAAAATTTAATGAAATTTTCGTATATGCCGTCATCACAACTTTCGGTTTTTCTTCTGCGGATATTTTGAGTAGCGAACTAAAATCCCATACCACAGGTATCTTTTAAATCATAAAAATGTATTGTGTTTTATCGTACTTGAATTGTATTTTAATTATTAATATATAAATAAAATGTCGTTAATTAAGTGGTTCAGATTTTTAAATTTTATTCCACATTTATTCGAAGCTTATAAACATTTAGTATACAATAATAATTAAAAATAGTTGACAATTTTTTAAAAACGTTATTTTAGTAAAAAATATTATAACAACGTACATGCTGTGTTTTTAGATAATAATTATGATATTACTGCAATTTACAAGTCAACGAAAAACGCTAAACCGGAAAATTGCTGTAAGTAATTAATTGTTGATTAATGAACTATTATAACAGTATTAATTTTTTTAAATTGCAGCTTAATATATTATACTAAAAATGCTTGAATTTATTGCTACTGTAAAGTTACATACATGCCCTTGTAGAAAGGCAATAAAATTAATTTCTTATAATATAATAATATATTATTTGTTTAGATGGTCCAAGTATTAGAAATCAATTGGACGTTAACTTTTGGCCCAATGAAAATAGAAGTATGATTGTTATAAAAAAAATATATATATAAAACACTTGCTTAATAACAAATAGTATATAAATAAAATATTTGATTATAAGTTTTCATACTATTTAAGGTTATTGGAACGATGAATTTATGAACTATACTGCGAATACCAATTGTTACAAAGTTGAAATTCATTTAAGAACGAACGCTATTGGCTTACCAATAACGTATGATGGAAAATTGTTGAGTTTTGGTAACAAAGATTTCGAGGTTATTGCAGATTCGACATTTGGAAATATATTCAATTATATAGACTATGACGAAAGAAAGAATTGGGATTTGGTCAGTCGCGGAATAAATGATAATATCTATGTCTATGATAACAAGCGACGTACAGCTTCAAGTAATGGCTATAATTTAATGTTAGAAAATAAGTTATCTTTAGCTTCAATGTGAAGCTGAAAAAAAATGCATTTTAGTTGTATGTGTTTTTTTTACATTTTACCGTTTTTTTATTATTAGATTCATCTTTTGGGTTAAAATATTTCATACTGATAATAACTAATATAATACAACTTCATAACTCGGCGTGAAATTCTAAACTAAATACTATAGGGGTTACTTTATGTTTAGTGTAAGATAATAATTATGTCAACCTACTTTTATTTTAAGTGAGAGTTTTATCAAAACATACAATTAGGCTAGACGTATATTTTCAGAAAATCCTGATGTCAGTACTGAATACGAATATTTGACAAATTTAAGGAGTAATGATCAATTAAATATAAAATGGAGATCAAGCCGTACAATTCAAGCATGTATATCGGTATCTTACTACTCATATTGAATTCTAGATCTTCAATGGAAATATTTAAAAAAAATCATCCAAATGCCATTTTATCTCATAGTTTTGAGCGAACAGACGTAAGTTCAACGGTTTTTTGTATTATTCTTTATTTTTCATTCACAAAGAAGCCAACTTCTTTAGCAACTATTTATAACTATTTTGGGATTTTGCACAGATATTATTAATGTTAACATATATAAAAAATATACATATTTTACAATGTTTTAATATATTACTTTTATTGTGTATCAGTGATTTTAGTAAGATTAAGCACTCATAAAATTGTTAGGAGCTTGTGGATGTTTGAGTACGAATATTTGCTATATTTCATTTATTTTTGGCTATTGAAAAATCAAAACATCAAAAATTTTTAAAAAAATAAGTCACGTTTTTAGTACTGTAGTTAAGTTGTAAGGAATTCAATTGCATATTTTTTGTTTGTGCCCAGTCATAACAAATACAATAATAATTAAATTGTCAGCAAATATTAGTACACAATACAAATCTATGACCCCCTCCTGGGGTGCTGCAATCACTCCACCAGTTATTCAGATATTTATAATGTTTCTATATCACTTTAAGTATAAATTAATTCATATAAGACTATTTAAATACTATACGTAGTATAAACGTAGTACGTTAAATTATTATTCCACAAATGTTGAGCTTTGACGCTAAAGTCAACTCCTAAGTTGTATAGTTTATTTCAATTCCTTGGTTTTTGTGTGTTAGTACTATTTTTTTTTCAAATACAATAAACACTTTAAACATAAAAAAAACACTGATAATAATTAAAATTTGGCATAAATAATGTTTTTTGGTTTGATTAACTTATAATAGTAAAAAAACTTATCAGTTATATCAAAAACGACTACTAACTCTTGCTAAAACATATTAAATGTAACTATATTTAAGCTCACACATTATAAAACAAAACGAAAGTCCTTCTACATCAATTAACAATACACACAGTAAGCGTGTGTATGGATAAAACTTCTACTGTACTAAAATTAATAAACCATTTTTTACTTAAATAAAAATTACAACAATTCATCTGGCTTTTACTGCTAAGACAATTTCATATTATAAACAAAATGTATTTGCAGTACACCATAAAAACGTTAGTATTACGTACAAATGAGATATTTTGGGAAAATGAAGAGTACGAATTGCGACTTAAGTTCGACTCCCAATCTGATTTTGGAATAAAGAGAATAGTTCAATGTCCGGGATTAAATGGTAAATACTTTAAATATTAAATTAACAGCCCTTTTAGAATGTAATTGGAAAGTAGGTATATCATTTTTAAATAATTGTTTTGCGTAAACAATTTTTTTTTGTAGGAAACGTGTAACTCTAATTTTTCTTCTTCTTTGCAATAATCTTCCCCGTACAAATCAGGTTAGCCAGACCAATTATCTATCTTCAAAAACCTTGATAAAGTCACAAAAGTACCAAATAAGACGTAATAATCAATATACTTGATCGAATTGAATTCAAGAAGTACTACAAAAATAAGCTAAGCTTCGATGCGTAGCTGATATTGTTTTTACAATGACGCGTTTTAATTTGTATCTACACCCATAATATCTTCTTAACTGCCGAACTGATTCCTTTAAGTAGCAAAGCTATTGGTAGTCGTACCTAAAAGTTACTTTATTGAACCAACATTTCAAAAACTCGCCAATACCCCAATATGGAGAAATACGCCAAAAAATTGTACATATTTTTCAACATAAATTTCCGGTGTTTAAAATGAATAACTTTAAAATCTAGAAGGGGTGGAAACTTTTTCTGTATATAAATAATTTGAGCGTTGGTTTTTTAATTCAATATATGCCAATTGTACTGAAAGTAGATCTAGAGTAAGGCTATAATATACAGCAGAGTGATCATTTTATCGTGAACCACCCAATATCTTGTACGGTTTAAGAGTGAATTAAATTTTTTTTTTTCATAGTGTTTTAATATAATATAATCTCATTTTTTCACAAATGTTTATGTTCCTACCCCCTCCCAAACTAATTATTTTTATATCAATTTTCGAAACTTAAATGGTAAGGCATACATTTCATTAACTTTTTAAATTGAGAACAATGTACTAAAATTGTTCACTGGTTTTTTGAACTATTTTTGAAGTTATTAAAGTTTCAAGTAAGGGCAGGAGAAAAGGTGGATTGGAGTATTATTTTCATCTGTGCGCACTTCCCCTTCCTGCCCTAACTTTTAAACTCTTATAACTTAAAAATAATTGTCCAAAACTAGTTATTTACAAGTCAAAATTATTAATAAAAATTTCTTAATTTGAAAAGTTAATAAAATATATAATTATGTTACCACTTAAGTTAATATATATGTTGGTATAATATGTTCTTAATGTTTTAATTTGTAGAATTTGAAGAAGTTTACACTAGTCTACCTATGCAAAAGTATCCATCTAAAGTCGGAATTTATCCATTTGGTAATGACATGAAAATTACTTTAAAATATAAATTAATGAATTGTTTGTATTTAAAATTTAACTCTGTTAGAATTACTTCAATGAATAATTTTATTATGGTTTATTTCTCGAGTTTTTAATCAAACACAATTCTTAACTTAATCTACGAAAAAAAAAACATTATTTTTAAGAACAAATATCGGGAAGTATCAACGAACTATATAGAATTTTTAGTTATATTAATTTGTTGTATTAATAGGAAATCCAAGTAAAAACAATTTCGGGTTTTGGCCAACTCCAAAAGACAAGCCATGTTATAACGGAGGGATATATGTAAATAAGAAATGCGTCTGTCCACCAGGGTTTAAAGGAGATAACTGTGCATTTGGTAAATAAAGTAGACATTTCTCAGACGAATAATTTTAATGACATATTAAATTCTTGTACATTTAGCATGTGGGCCAAATAAATTCGGTTTTGACTGTACCGGCATTTGTTCAATGGAGGAAGATAACTGCAAAGGAGCGATAATTTGTACGAACATTTTCTCATGCCAGTGCACTACTGGATACACTGGCAAGTTCTGTGAAGATGGTAATTTTACTGACCAATTTCATTTTAAAACAACGTCAAAACAATGATGCCATTATTTTAGAATGTCCTCGGGGATATTATGGATTCGGTTGTAACCAAAAGTGTTCAGAAAATTGTCTTTCTGATGAATGTAATATATTCTCCGGTGCATGTACTAAAGGATGCAAGAATGGTTATATAATGCCAAATTGTATAGAAAGTAATTAACATTACGAATAGCAAAACACACTCGAATCCTAGCGTTATAGGTCATAAAATGATCATTATTTGCTTTTAGAGTACCCTTGGCTAATAATTGCGCCTAAATTAGTATCATCTAATATGCAATCGATGACTTTGAATTTCGACTTGTCTTTTGACAATATTGGTGGTAGTCGACAGAAAAAACCCACGTATTACCATATAATGTATAAGGTATTTTTTAATGTTTATAATATTACTACCTTGTTTACGCTATTTTAAGTATGACTGTAATAAAACGCATGGAAAGAAAGCAATATAACACAAGTTAGAGAAATATAGAAATTATTTATGGTATACAATTTACTAGTAAGTAAATAAGTTTAAATTCATGATATTTTGAAGTAAAAGATTTAAAACTCGGTACTGGTTGAAAGTATATTTGATACAAATTATATTGATTACATTTGTGGATTGTAATATTTAAAGTGGCCGTAAGTAAGCTGCTTGACAAAAATTTGCCATTAAGTTATAGAAAAACTAAATACCATTGCCGACAGTGAAATATTTTACTTAAAACTCATAATCAGTTATAATAAGAACTTTGGAAAAAATCTATGAATCGTGTAAATCTAAATGAATGGAATCATTCAGGATCTGATCATGTACGTAAGAGGTATAATTAATATGGGAAATAACACACAATATTAATTAAGCTTAGTTGGAAAAGATTAAACGTTATTCGACTTTATATATGTACACACACAAAATAGGAAAACGAAGAAGAGGGGTGTATATAGTTTAATGTTTTTTGGTTAAGTATAGTCTATAGATAGGATATGAGCGATCAAAATTACTTTGTATTACTGTTATAAGTGAAAAGAGGCTCGTTTACCAGAGTATAAAGTTAATTTAACTTATTTTTCAGACTTTTATTTTGTAAAAGTTACTAGCAATTAACGATGCACCATAATGCTTGGAAACTACACTTCATATATTAATATTATTACATTTTACTTAATACATTATAATGTTGCCTTATAAATACACCTATTTTTCCATTTAAGCCAGTTTCGAGTGAAGGAAATGTTCAATACACGAATATAAAATACATCCAACCGCGTATTAGTAATATAACAGAAACCATCGATGGGTTAGCATTTGATACGTTGTACAGAGTCGGCGTTGTATTATTATCAGAAGACGGGAATTTCAACGAAGATGTAAAAACCGCTCAGTATACGACCACTTGTTATGGTATTTATATATTTATCTTATTAGTTCAAAGCAGAGACTATAATAACACATATAGTAGATAGGTATTTCTAATGTTTACCGACACCTGTTACGCTTTGAGATCTATTACTAAAAATTTGTGTGGTACAGTCTATTGTATGTATTACATACGTGAATGCGTTTTTATAATATACAATATTTGTTGTCTCTATTTTTGGTGTATTTCGTTAGTTTGGAATTAGTTTGAAAAAATCACTTTCCACCATGCTAATAATTGGAAATTATACTTTCATCAGACATTACTTTCAAATATTTTAACCACTCAATAAATATTATTTGTGTTACATTTTGTATTGGATATACTTTGAAAGACTAAATTTGTTTTTTTGCAATTTAGAACCTGTTGACGTTATTTATAACTTAATGCTACATAGCAAAGATCCAAAGTCAATAACCGCTACTTGGAAAAAGGTAATCATAATTATTGAAATTTAGTAATTGATATATTTCTATATAACTTAAATGCTGTTATACAGGTTAGAGAAAATAAATTATTATGTTCATTAGTTTAATTAATTAATTTAATTTCATTAATTTTTTTTATCCAATAGCACACTCGACGAAGTGAGAACGAATGCAAAATATACTATCATTTAACACTTAAGTTTAACCATACTACAGTGTCTGAAAATCAAATAAGTGAAGTTCCGTACGTGGTTAACTTTACAAATTTATTGTCTAGTTATCTATACACTGTCGAAATTCGAGCGCATACAGCTTTAGGATTAATAAACCGGACAGAAGTAGCTCATACAAGCACTAAGCCAACTAAAGGTAATAACAATTAGAAATTAGTAACTAGATAAGTTTGATATTTAAAAAACAAAAACTATTAATTATAAAGTGTTTTAAAGTTGAAAAAGAATTAAATTAAATTATACTCCATCAAATGTGACACCCACACAAAAAATTATGTATCACACTTCTCCAACTTTCCAGATTTGGTTGTTGTTATTTGTTAAACGATATCAAAATAATGTTTAAATTTTAAATTACAGGTAATATTATATTAAGAAACATTAAAGGTAACGCTGATGCTTTTAACCATAGCATTCGTTTGACATGGGAACTTGCCGATTCATTAATAGGAGACTCAATAAATTACACCATTAAATATAAGGTAGGTACTTCATAAATGTCCATAAAAATAGATTCAGCCCGTATAACTCTGTCTTTGAACAAATTTTATTCCACTACCATACCTTTGTTCACTTTGCACGCATTCATATTTTTATTTATGATATCCATCTCTGATAGCTCGATATTATTATAAACGTATATAGCTTCTGATTTGTTGTTTTATTATATATATATCTATTTATAATCTTGTTTATTTCAATAGAAAGTTGGTTTTTTTATCTAGAAAGTATTTTTTTTAAGGTTAAATACAATTTATCTAAAATATTATAGGTACACAGATATTTTAGTTGTTCTCATCATCCAGTTGAAAGCAATTGGACAACCGATAATATTTATGGCCGATTGATGTATGAAATCTTGAACTCAACACCGAACACACAATATATAATAAACGTTGAACCTAGTATTAATTCAGAGTCATTGGAGAATACAGTTTTTGTTAAAACACCAACTTCGAGTAAAATTGGATTTCATAAAATCTAGTATTATGTTCTCGTGTCTTAAGAAGAATTAATCAATCATACGATTTTACAGCACCAAATTTAGCTCCTGCTGTCGACAAAAACCAATCGTTATATATAACTAATCAGTCTGTCACTGTCAAGTGGATTTTCGATCAAAATCAATGCACCAAGCTTAATGGATTTTTTTCAGGATACCATTTAATACTGAAGGCATGTGTACACATTTTTCTACTAAAAACCAATAAACTATTCAATCGTACTTGTAATCATTTTAAGTATTAATGTTTTGTAGAATTTAGAAAATTATACAGAAACGGTAGATGACACTAAAATTAATACCAAGGAGTATGTTAACCTTAATCCAAACACAAAATACGAGATACAAATTTACATAAAAAATAATGATGGATATAATCCCAATTATATGCTAGCAATACCGTTTAAGACAAAATCTCAGTGTAAGACATTTAGAATGAATTATATTAATATATCAATATTTTTGAAGTAAAACTTATTATTAGTCAAAAGACACATTTATTAAAAATTATTTATAAGTAAATTCCATTCGATTATTTACTGTAAACACTACATAACTCATTTTCAGTTCTATCGCCTGTTGAAGATTTAACCGTCTATAAAAAAGATTCTAAACAAAGGGCAATATCTCTTCGCTGGAGATACCCAGAGGATGAAGATATTGAAGTCTTAAATTTTATAATCACAATGACTAAAGACAACGCTTTAACTAATTTCAAGGAAATCCGCGCAAATAAAGATAAATGCACAGGTTGGCCCAATTATTACTGTGCAACCATTTCAAATTTAACGCCTAAAGATGAATACACTTTTAAGGTATTATATTAGCGATTTTTAGTTGAATAAATGCTATTTTGTATGATCGTTTCATAAAAAGGTGAAAGCTGTGTCACAAGATTACGCTGAAGGAGGTCTACCCGCATCAGTCAGTTGTAACTTCATAGACGGGTGTAAGTATTGTTACCAAATATCTTCAAAGTATTTCGATGGAAGTTCTAAAACTTGCAATAGATAACTGATAATTTGTATCTTGAACTCTTTGCAGTTTCAGACGAGCCTGGTAATTTAAGAGCTACACTTATCGGCTCGAATAATATCACATTGCAATGGGACATTCCGTGGATTTTGAATGGCCTTTTAAAATCGTTTATTGTAACCACTGAAGAAGTTACAGCTTTAGACATGGAAACTTGCTGTGCAAGTCTTCCCGATGTTGAGATAAACGTTTCAAAAGAAGTTCCAACTTATAACTGCACGGTAAATACATGCGTTTTTATCGTTATTAATGAAATTTTGAAAATTTTAACCGTTACCAGTTTAAGAACTCAGAAATAGTTATGGATTACATAAAAGCCAAACCTCTATCCAATATTAGATATTCTTTGTATTCAGATTTTTGCTATACATTACAGTTGATGTTTAAGTTTACCAACTCTAATAATGTTTTTCAGTTGACTAATCTAAAACCAGGTTCTACGTACTCGATTGGGGTATTGTCGAAAACATCATGGTATGGACTAGCAAAACGAATTTTCGTGACTACGTTGTCAACTGCCACATCACAAACAGAGACCAAAATATTAGTCTAATAAAAAATGTTACATGTTTTTCACAATTATTCTTGAGCTAATAATTATAAGTATCGTCATAATAAAAATTGTATTTTACTATTGATAAAAAAAGCCAAAAGCGAAGGTGATTTTGAACCAGAATTACAAATTAAACTTACTAAGAATAATTGTAAGTTTTTTTTTTTAATTAAAAACTAAATATAACATGTAATCTAGTTTATTACTTTAGCTTTAAATTAAAAATTTAAATACAAAATTATGCACAATATAATATTGTGTCCGTATATCTTACTGTTATTTTATAAATTTAATCTTAAGTCTCATAAATTTGTAATTGCCTTGTTCCTCCTTCCTTTTTATTATGGAATCGCATGTATTATACAGTATACTAAATCAAATTTTAGCTTAATTTTCGAGTGTACATCTTGGTCTTTAACGTCGTGAAACTAACTTCTTACTGCTGGACTAAAAAGAATAATATTGTAGTTTTATGTAAAAGTTTTAATTACATGTTGACTGTTGATTCGCTCACACGTAGCAACCTAGGTTGCTACCTAGAAATTGACTACGGTCAGTGTGTAATTATCCCCTTTTTTGGGAGAGGGGGTTTTCTTAATAAAAACAAATTAAACAAAACATTTTTGAAAAAATCGTTTATGTTATAAATAGTCCCATTTTAGATTTATAATCGGTAAAATATTCAAACCTCAATTCTTAAAATTTAGCTTGAAAAAGTAAAATAAATAAAAAATATCTATCCCTTCTAGGGAAAATGGTTTATGCTATTTTTTTTGGGTTGACAATGTATATCAGTAGTACTATGCTTACAAAATATTCCATACAAATTTGTAATTAATTAGACTTTCTTCAAAAAAAATTATGAAGCGTCGTAATTTTATGTTGAAAAAAATGTAAATTTTGTTGGCGTTTTTTCACGATTTTAAAGGGGAGGGTTACTTTTCAAAATTGTTGTTTTAAAAACTAAATGTTTTATAGAGGAACACTGGGTTAAATGATAATTAATAAAACAGATTTATTAGATAACGTGAACGATATGTATAATATTGTATCTAGGAATTTACTTGTATATCATTGTTAATAAATGTACCTTTTGGCTAATAATAAGTATTATTTTAACAATTTTAAATAATTAATAATTCGTTCCAAATGTCTTTCAATGTGCTTTCATCTTAAATGGTATCGCTAGCATGTAATCGGGATTATATCCATTATTATTTTTTATGTAAATTTGTATCTCGTATTTTGTGTTTGGATTAAGGTTAACATACTCCTTGGTATTAATTTCTGTGTCATCTACCGTTTGGGTATCATTTTCTAAATTCTACAAAAATTAATATATAAAATGATTAGAAGTACGATTGAATAGTTTATTGGTTTTCAGTATAAAAATGTGTACACATGCCTTCAGTATTAAATGGTATCCTGAAAAAAATCCGTTGAGCTTGGTGCATTGATTTTGATCGAAAATCCACTTGACAGTGACAGACTGATTAGTTATGTATAACGATTGGTTTTTGTCGACAACAGGAGCTAATTTTGGTGCTGTAAAATCGTATGATTGGTTAATTCTTCTTAAAGCACAATAACATAATACCAGATTTTATGAAATCCAATTTTACTCGAAGTTGGTGTTTTAACAAAAACTGTATTCTCCAATGACTCTGAATTAATACTAGGTTCAACGTTTATTATATATTGTGTGTTCGGTGTTAAGTCCAAGATTTCATACATCAATCGGCCATAAATATTAACTGTTGTCCAATTGCTTTCAACTGGATGATGAGAACAACTAAAATATCTGTGTACCTATAATATTTTAGATAAATTGTATTTAACCTTAAAAAAAATACTTTCTAGATAAAAAACCAACTTTCTATTGAAATAAACAAGATTATAAATAGATCAAATATTGAAAACAACAAATTAGAAGCTATATAAGTTATAATAAAATATATCAAGCTATCCAAAAAAGGACTGATATAAGGATAGAGATAAGGATTAAAAGAGTACAGGAATTTAAAAGACAGTGTAATACCAAAGCAGAGGTGAATATTATAAATACAAATATGAATGTGTGCAAAGTGAATAAAGGAATGGTTGTGGAATAAAATTTTTTCAAAGAGAGAGTTTTACGGGCTGAATTTTTATGGATATTTATGAAGTACCTTATATTTAATGGTGTAATTTATTGAGTCTCCTATTAATGAATTTGCAAGTTCCCATGTCAAACGAACGCTTTGGTTAAAAGCATCAGCTTTACCCATGATGTTTCTTATAATAATATTACCTGTAATTTAAAATTCAAACATTTTTTTAATTTCGTTTAACAAACAACAACAACAAAATCTGGAAAGTTGGAAAAGTGTGATACGTCAGGTTTTGCGGGGATGTCACATGATATGATAGAGTATAATTTTATTTTATTCATTATACATATTTAAAACACTAATAGAAATTAAAAATTAACAGTTTTTTTTTTTTTTTATATAAAACTTAACTAGTTATTAATTTTTAATTGTTTTGAAAATCCAATAAATTACCTTTGTTTGGTTCAGTGCTTGTATGAGCTACTTCTGTCAGGTTTATTGCTCCTAATGCTGTATGCGCTCGAATTTCAACAGTGTAAAGATAACCAGGCAATACATTTGTAAAGTTAACCATATTCGGAACTTCACTAATTTGGTTTTCAGACACTATGGTATGGTTAAACTTAAGTGTTAAATGATAGTATATTTTGCATTCGGTCTCATTTCGTCGAGTGTGCTATACAATAAAAAAAAAAATGAATAAATTAACGTAACACTTTATTTTCTCTAACCTGTATAATATCATATAAATATTATAGAAATACATCAACTACTGAATTCCAATAAATATGATTACCTTTTTCCAAGTTGCGGTTATTGTCTTTGGATCATTGCTATGTAGCATCAAGTCATAAATAACGTCAACCGGTTCTAAATTGCAATAAAACAAATTTAGTCTTTCAAAATATATCCAATACAAAATGTATTGGACACAAATAATATGTATTGAGTGGTTAAGATATTCGAAAGTAACGTCTGATGAAAGTATAATTTCCAATTATTAGCATGGTGGGAAGTGATTTTTTCAAACTAATTTTAAACTAACGGAATAAACCAAAATTAGAGATAACAAACATTGATTATTATAAAAACGCATTTACTTATGTAAAACATACAATAGACTACACCACACAAATTTTTAGTAATAGAGCTTTTTTTTTTTTATTTTTTATTTTAACATAACATTTACAATCTGTACATACAAAATATAGAATAAGAAAATATGCTAACAATGTAAGGAATGACTTGTAGACTATGAGTAGGGGAGCTATCCAGTGATATGACCCTATAAGTAATAGATCTACAAACGTAACAGGCCCATAAATATAAAATATTTACTATATTTGTTATTATAGTCTATGCTTTAAACTAATAAGAAAAACTATATAGATACCATAACAAGTGGTCATATACTGAGCTGTTTTTATTTCTTCGTTAAAATTCCCGTCTTCTGATAATAATACAACGCCGACTCTGTACAACGTATCAAATGCTAGCCCATTAATGGTGTCTGTTATATTACTAATATTCTGTTGGATGTATTTTATATTCGTATATTGAACATTTCCTTCACTCGAAACTGGCTTTAATGGAAAAATATGTGTATTTAAAAAGCAACATAATAATGTAATACATGAAGTGCAGTTTCCAAACAACAACGTGCATATTTACAAAATAAAAATTTGAAAAGTATTTTATATTAAAACGTATACTCGACCCTGATAAAAGAGCCTCTTTTCACTTATAACAGTAACAAAAATAATTTTGATCAATCATCTCCTATCTATGCTTAATTGTACTCTGTTCAAAATAAGAAGCGACCTCGGCGGCTACCTGTAAACCTTTTTTTACGTGGCTTTCAGATAGCCGCTGAGATCGCTTCTTATTTTGAACCGAGTATAAATAATTTTAACCTACTTATTTTACAACACCGCTTTCTTCTTTTTTCCTATTTTGTGTCTTTACATAATTTATAGTCGAATAACAATTAATTTTTTCCAACTAAGCTTAATTAATATTGTGTGTTATTTCACATATTATTTATACCTCTTACGTACATGATCAGATCCTGAATGATTCTATTCATTTAGATTTACACGATTCATAGATTTTTTCCAAAGTTCTTATTATATCTGATTGTGAGTTTTATCTAAAATATTTCATTGTCGGCCATGGTATTTAGTTTTTCTATAACTTAATGGCAGATTTTTGTCACGCAGCTTACTTACAGCTACTTTAAATATTATAATCCACAAATCTAATCAATATAATTTGTATCAAATCTACATTCAACCAGTTCCGAGTTTTAACTCATCCTTCAAAATATTATGAATTTAAACTTATTTTCTTACTAGTGTACTGTATACCGCGAATACTTTCTAAATTTCTCTAACTTGTATTATACTGCCTTCTTTCCATGCATTTTATTACAGTCATACTTAAAATAGCGTAAACAAGGTAGTAATGTTATGAACATTAAAAAAATACCTTATACATTATATGGTAATACGTGGGTTTTTTCTGTCGACTACCACCAATATTGTCAAAAGACAAGTCGAAATTCAAAGTCATCGATTGCATATTAGATGATACTAATTTAGGCGCAATTATTAGCCAAGGGTACTCTAAAAGCAAATAATGACTATTTAATGACCTATAATACTAGTATTTGTGTGTGTTCACTATTCGTTATAAAAACAATAGTAAGTTATTACTTTCTATACAATTTGGCATTATATAACCATTCTTGCATCCTTTAGTACATGCACCGGAGAATATATTACATTCATCAGAAAGACAATTTTCTGAACACTTTTGGTTACAACCGAATCCATAATATCCCCGAGGACATTCTAAAATAATGGCATCATTGTATTAACGTTGTTTTAAAATGAAATCTGGTCAGTAAAATTACCATCTTCACAGAACTCGCCAGTGTATCCAGTAGTGCACTGGCATGAGAAAATGTTTGTACAAATCATTGTTCCTTTGCAATATTCATCCTCCATTGAACAAACGCCGGTGCAGTCAAAACCGAATAGATTTGGTCCACATGCTAAATGTACAAGAATTAAATATGTCGTTAAAATTATTCATCTGAGAAATGTCTACTTTATTTACCAAATGCACAGTTATCTCCTTTAAACCCTGGTGGACAGACGCATTTCTTATTTACATATATCCCTCCGTTATTACACGGCTTGTCTTTTGGAGTTGGCCAATACCCATAATTGTTTTTAATTGGATTTTCTATGAAAACAACAAATTAATATTCCCTACACGTTATTTGTATTTTAAAATAATGTTTTTTTTTTGTACATTAAGTTATGCATTGTGTGTAATTAAAACTTACAATAGTAATTTTAACTTGAAAATACTTTTTACATGATGTGTTAAAAAACACATTTTGAATATATTCGCCTTACAAACTAAGTTTTTTTTTAAATTTGTAATTTTTAAATTACACTATATATTAGATGTAATTATAGTTCTTGTATTAGAAAAATGCGCAACAAACCGAAAAATAAAAGTCGAGGTAGATATTATTGATGGATGGAGGGTCGAGTCTGTAGTTGGAGAAAATTGACCTCTTGACATGCCGACTTCTCCAATTGATGAAGGAAATCAACATAGGTAAGAATGTATGTTTTAATAGATACAATAATACTCATACATAAAGTAACAAACAATATACTTTATAAACTACATACTAAATATAATCTTTATAATACTAACTATAAACAACATACTTGTCAATAAGAAGTAACCGGTTTTTTTGTATCTGACTTTAACGTATTGTTGTATTATTAATACATGTTATTACAATTTGTAAAAATTTACGTTTATAAAATTAAGGAATAATTTTTTATAGTTTATATAATGAAAATTTAATATCATATTCATAACTAACACATTTGTTTATGAAATAAAATATATATTTTGCTTATACTTGTATTATATGACGTTTAACAGTTTTCTTTTTTCATAAATTACTTTAGTACTTTATTTCTTTTTACAAATAATATATTTTTTCATCAAAATCTTTTTTTGAGAACAATAACAAATTATATAATTCATGTTAAATCGCCATTTTGTCACCGTCAATAAATTAATTATTTTATCTGTGCTTGAACTTTGTTTCGATTTTGTTAACTTTGACTCTAAAGAAGCACAAAAGGACACATAATGGCGAGAGGTCTTTTCAATGTGAGATATGCAAGAAGATATTTTCACGAAATGGAACTTTTCAAATTCATAAAAGAACACACACAGGTGAGAGGTCTTTTCAATGTGACATATGCAAGAAGATATTTTCACGAAATAGAACTTTTCAAATTCATAAAAGAACACACACAGGTGAGAGACCTTTTCAATGTGAGATATCTAAAAAGACATTTTCACTATTACAACATCTTAAAAATCGCATAATGGCACACATAGGCGAGAAACCTTTTCAATGTGAGATATGTAAGAAGGCATTTTCACGAAATGGAACTTTACAAATTCATAAAAGAACACACACAGGTGAGAGGCCTCTTCAATGTGAGATATGTAAAAAGAGATTTTCACAATCTGGAACTCTAATTATGCACAAAAGGACACATACTGGTGAAGGGCCTTTTCAATGTGATGTATGCAAGAAGAAATTTTCGAAAGCTGGAGATTTAAATAAGCACAAAAGGACACATACTGGTGAGAGGCCTTTTCAATGTGAGATATGTAAGAAGGTATTTTCGAAATCTGGAGATCTAAATAGCCACAAAATAACACATACAGGTAAAAGGCCTTTTCAATGTGATATATGTAAGAAGACATTTTCACAATCTGGAAATCTAAATCAGCACACAAAGACACATACGGGTGAAAGGTCTTTTCAATGTAATGTATGTAAGAAGACATTTTTACAATCCGGGACTCTTAAAAAACATATAATGATACACTCAGATAAAAGTTAAATCATGCCTAAACATGTTCGGAAATCTTAATTTTAAAATAGGGAAACTGACTATCAATATTTATAAAAACTAGAATTTAATTATTTTTTAAGAATTAAGTACTAAAAATATGATATGATGTCATCAGTTGGACCTTTTGTAGAATCTAATTTTTGATATTTTTGAAGGCAACTCATAGTTTTAATGTAAGCAAAAATAAGAATTTAGAAGTTTAGTTCTATTTAAATTTTTTATTTTATCAACCATTATAGTGCAATGTGTTGTTCAAAAATAATAACTACAAAGTTATCTAGTATAGGAAGTTTTCTTTTTATTATAATTTGTAGTAGTAATAAGTTTATGTTTGTTTATCCAACTTTACATAATTAGAATTCTAAGATATTATATATAATATATTATATTAAATTTATAAATTCTAACTTATGTCTTTTATACGGTATTGAACGATTAGGCAATTTTAAAATGTTTTTAATCAAGACATTTTTTTTCTTAAAATTTAGCTGCAGTTGTTGAAAAAATTACTTTAAAATATTTTGTGATGTTTTTTTATTTTTACGAATAATATAAATAGTTTAACCATTAAGGTAAAGTTATGTGTATTTTAAATTTTTATACTATATTTTTTTAATGAAATCTATGACTATAGTTAAATTTCTGTTACACATAACCCTTGAAAGCAGGAATTAAAAACTCTACTTATACGGCCTTATGTTATTTCTGAAAAGTTTCAGTGTAAGTGTTCTTTATTATTGTACTGTTCTTTTTTACTATACAGAGCGATCATTCTACCGTGAACCATTCAATATCTTATAGGGTTTAATAAGAAATTTAATTTTTTCGATGAATGACCTTGTATTATGTTTGCTGGAAATCAATATGCATAACTAAACTTGGAGTATTGGATGGAAAAATTTGTCTTTATTTCATTGTTAATTAATGTACAGTTTTGAAACTTATAGTTTGAAAATTGTTGCACTGACAATTTTCTCATAAATCTGTAGTCAACATTGAAATAAAGAAAACTCAATAAAAAGAAAAAACCGAGCTAACGGGTACTTGAAAAATATTTTCATTATAATAATATTGTTGATGACGGTATTTATATCCTGTAACTATGATTGTATGAAAGAACTAATACTGTTTTTTTTTTTACAAAGAACTATTTTAACAAATCGTTACAGACATAAATATTAATAATATTCAATTCAATCCAAAATAAATATTAAAAAATAAAGTTATAAATAATATAGAAAATACATTTTAAAACGATATTAAGTTAGGTTAGACGATGATAATAATTTGCAAATTTAATTCGTCAATTATAGCTAAATAATAATTGAAACAAATAAACCGGAAAAACACAAAAAAATTTACAAAATTAAGATTCTCAAGAGCAAAATAGTAACATGAAGTCTATGACGTATTATTTATGTAATCTTGCACGATGCGCTATAAGGGAACATTTTTGTTTTTAAAGGATTTTTTACATACATCGCATTTATAGGGCTTTTCGCCTGTGTGAACACACTCGTGTATTTTCCAACCGGAAAATTAGTATAAAACTTTTTCGCAAACGCTACATTTGTATAATGCCTTTCCGGTGTGAATACATATGTTGCAAAAACTACATTTAAAAGGCTTTTGTCTTGCACGCACAAGTTCATGTCTCTTGAGGGTAACGTTTTTGGCAAATGAAATTTTACAGAACCTACAATTAAAAGATATTTCTCCTGTATGCACAAGTTCATGTCACTCGAGTTTACCGTTAAAAGCAAAAGATTTCTTACATACATCGGGACTTATTTAAAATTGTCTTTGTTATTTTAATCGTTTTGTTCTTAGTCTTCATTTTATAGCACTTCGTATCGTCTCTACTCCATGTGTTGACCTCGTTGCTGCAACGGCCCAGAGTTTGATCACTTAAAATGTGAATTATAGTAATTCAAAATCATTATTACTCCCCGAAAATTCATGCATATTTCTACAAAGAATCGTTTTTTATATAAATTTTAAATTGATAAAATTTTGTAAAATGTTAGACAAAATACAAAAATTATTATCCATAAAATATTATCCATCAATTTCTAAAAACTAATGGACAAAGTTAACAAAATCGAAACAAAGTTCAAGCACAGATAAAATAATTAAATTAGTGACGGTGACAAAATGGCGATTTAACATGAATTATATAATTTGTTATTGTTCTCAAAAATACATTTTGATGAAAATATATATTATTTGTAAAACGAAATAACTGACTTACAAAGACATTTTAGTAACATATATTTAGTACTAAAGTAATTTATGAAAAAAGAAAACTGTTAAACGTCATATAATACAAGTATAAGTAAAACACATATTTTATTTCATAAACAAAATTGTTAGTTATGATATTAAATTTTAATTATATAAATTATAAAAAATTATTCCTTAATTTTATAAACGTACATTTTTATAAATTGTAATAACATGTATTAATAATACAACAATACGTTAAAGTCAGATATAAAAAAACCGGTTACTTCTTATTGACAAGTATGTTGTTTATAGTTAGTATTATAAAGATTATATTTAGTATGTAGTTTATAAAGTATATTGTTTGTTACTTTATGTATGAGTATTATTGTATCTATTAAAACATACATTCTTACCAATGTTGATTTCCTTCATCAATTGGAGAAGTCGGCATGTCAAGAGGTCAATTTTCTCCAACTACAGACTCGACCCTCCATCCATCAATAATATCTACCTCGACTTTTATTTTTCGGTTTGTTGCGCATTTTTCTAATACAAGAACTATAATTACATCTAATATATAGTGTAATTTAAAAATTACAAATTTAAAAAAAAACTTAGTTTGTAAGGCGAATATATTCAAAATGTGTTTTTTAACACATCATGTAAAAAGTATTTTCAAGTTAAAATCTTCCATAACATTTTTTTTCATAAAAATGCTGAAAAAGTAAGCTATGTGGCATGGTGTTCATTTTTTGACGTCTCTATCAAATACCAATCATATCAACGTGTTTCTTTTTTGTAGTAGCTATTTTTAAATAATATTGGCTTAACACTTTAATATACACATTTATGCATGAATATTCGTTGACGAGTAACAACTATATTGTAACACAGAATTGAAGTATAAGTTAGATAACTCTATTTTATTTGTATGGTATGGAATTACACATAACGACCTACAGTTTTTATTGTGATAATAATAACACAATACGACGACGTTCTGATTAGGCAAATCTGATACACGCATTGCTAATAAATTATTATCTGTTTGGTTTTTTTAACCTAATTTGAATATACCAAATATTTTATTGAAAGAAAATGTTTTTTTTATTTTATTAATTATTTTATTGATTACATACTTAATAAATTACAATACTTAACTAAAAATACGGGAAATGTAAAATTGATTTTTATAATTTTTCCTACAAAACAAATAATAAAATAACCAACAGATTATAATAATTTTTAAAGTAAACAACATTTTTTTATTATTAAATACTTAATACCATTGAACATGATATGCCCAATGCTAAAACCTAAATAAACGATTTATAATGTTAACAAAATATAGTTTTCTGTATGTTTTAATATATGGTTGACGCAGTAATCTTACCCTTTTTAATGGCCCTTCTACTAGAATAATGGTTGTTTTAAATTGATAGGATTTTTCTTTGAATTTGTTATTTTATTTGCGATAAAATTTAACCACCATACTAATTTATTCATAAAATAAGTAAATTAATCAAAAAACGTACACAACAAGTAATTTAAAAATCAAAAGTAAAAAAAAAACTTTAAAAAGGGTAAGAATGGTTCTTTATATTATTTTTAGTAATTTTTTAAATAAAGAATCTAAAGTGTGGCTTATGAGATTTATAGTTATTGTAAAGATTTTATTAATTAACTTTTTATTAATGAAATGTAAAATATAAACACAGGTCAAAGACCTGTTAGTAATTATTTCTTTAAGAATCTTACAAAAAATCAAATAACAGTTAACGCTGAACACATAAATTTTTTTCAGTTTAAACTTAATAAAACTTTTAAATCATTAACTGTGACGAACACAAAATAAATATAATCAAATAGTACATCCTACATTAATAAAGTATTTTTACTTAATACAGGAATGTAATCAGATACCGCACTAGTAAGTACCATCATACTGAATGTCCGATACCATTAAGTATTGTATGCCTCGTTTATAGAAGTTATTTAATACTTTTTAGGTGGTACACTGATTTATTTAGAACATATATTGTAATTTGTGTTACAGAATCTATTAAAAATATGAAAAACCATTAAGAAGCCACAAATGACAAAACAGCAGATTCTATAAAAATATATTTGTCTGGTGCCCCATATCGGCTTGTGGAAAAAAATAAAAAAACTTAAGTAAAATATAATATTATATTTATTTAAAAAAATTTTAATGTTTAAAAATTATTTTTTTGCCTACTCTGGGCAATTATTCATTCTGGAGGTGTGTTGTTGCTTTACATATGTCATTCCTGAAACAAACAGACTATTAGAGTGAATACTAAACGTTAACAGATTATTTGTAAATAACTCATTTTTTTCGACCTTGGTTAATTTTTGAAATCAATTGCATGTAATAAATGCAATAATATTATATATAATAATAGCGTAGTACATAGAGTGATTAATTAAGGATAAGACACTAATTTTCTCGAAATATATTAATATTTTGAACAATATTTTTTTCCAATCCTTGAAGGCCAAAAAAGGTGATTTTAGTTAGTTTTTTAATGGCACCATATAATGTTTTTAATTACATACATTTGTAGACAAAAAATAAACAATTTTTTAGCGTTTGAATTTTCATTTATTTGTTCATTAGCTATGACTTTATTAAGATACTAAATTTTCTCTTAATAATTATTATTTTAAAATTGGCTGGTGCAAATGCCCGTAAGCCCCCCCCCCCACACACTATTCAT